TGCACGCCACCAAGTCAAAGGGACTAGGTTATGTGGCTCATTACTGCACGCCACCAATAGTCCTAAAAAGGAATCTTGCAGTGATGATGCGAATAAAGGAAACGGACTCAAATATACTGTCCCGACCGGCGACGAAGTCGTCTACCGGTGAACTAATGGTCAGGCCGGTTGCCGATGACGATTCTTGATTTCTACTTCTGTATACTGAATTGTGAAGAAATATATTCTGGAGAATGCGATGTCTGAATCTACCGCTTGTCACAACCCGCGCTTCTGTGGATTTGTAGGAAGCAGTTCACAGACCAGACTGTATTACCTTCACAAAACGAGCATTTCGCCTCTTCAGGACTTCGGACTGCTTTTAGGGACATGGCCACTTTGTGTGGGAGTGCCGCGACGCAATCGGCATGGCAGCATGGGGAGAAACGGGGTCGTTGTGATTATTTGGGAAGCAAACATCGGGCATGGCTTTTTCTCTTAGTCACAAAACTCAGACTAGTTTAGTCTTTTGCATGACACTCTGGGGTAAGAGGGTACGAACGAGCGGACTGGCTTGCTGGCAGGGCAACGGTATGCACAGGAAAAGCAATGCATCGGGCCGACATTCTCAGTTCTCTCAAGGAGGCAGGACGAGAAGATGATTCAGGAGACGACGTTGGATCGGCAACACACACACAAAAAATACAAGAACGCTAGGTCAAAAAAAGTGTCGCAAAACATGAACTGGTGTTATCAATTGCCAAAAGATAGGATCCAAGCACTTGTGGACTTACCCGATGTGCATTGATGATAATCTGTCGATCAACTAACTAACTAGTCTTACGCATCGTGGACTTGAACTTGTCATTCAGTGTGATTGTCGCTGGATGGACATTTTAACCGTATTAGTAATTTAGTAGGAAGTAGCGGGTGCATAGCCAGGTCACGTGGTGACGGTGCGGGAATTTTTATGTGACACATAGAGAGAGAGAGAGAGAGAGAGAGAGAGAGAGAGAGAGAGAGAGAGAGAGAGAGAGAGAGAGAGAGAGAGAGAGAGTTTATGTTAAAAACACATATTTTTACCATAGTCACCCCGTCAATGATGAGACCCCGGGCGGCCAGAACACGACCTGGCCAGAACGCCCCTGGGGAGCAGGGCCAGTGGACTTGAGAACTAATTTTCCTAATAAGTTTTTCAAAGGACGTTTTCTCCAGTGCAATGAAGATGGGCTGATGAGTGCCATAGATCTTTTGCTACTAGACACTGCATCTCTAGGGCAGCGTTTCTCAAACTTTCTTTCGGCTCCCTTGTCAGGAAAAAAGCGATTTGAATACTTGGGGAAAGAAAAGGGTGGGAGGGAAAGGGGGGGGGGGGGAAATAGTGCAAATTTAATGTTCAGTTGTCTTTATTTACAACTGAAACCATAAAATGCCGGTGCGGCATCCAGGGCTCTATTGTGGATGTACAACTAGAACTGTTCACATGAATTTACAGCCGGTGAGAGCAAAGAAGAAGAAAAAAAAAGAAACCGTGACAAAAATGGGAGAGGAAAAAAAAAAAGGGGGGGGGGGGTGTATAGACATCTGTTTGGCTTTGAGAACCATTGATCTTTAGAAGATTCCTCGGCTGCTTTTTTCTTCGTATAGTCCACGCTGTGTTGCGTTGATAGTCATGTATGTCCACACACTTCTGTCTCGCATACTACAGTCATTTCTGACACAGATGTTCCTCTATGCCAGAGCTATTCAACAAAGTTTACTCAGGGCAAAAATGTTCAAAATGGGGATCGATCGTCACGGGCCAGAAGTCCGAGCTCCAGCGTAGATAGATAATTGATACAAATGGCAATAATCTATGGGCCCCTTACTAGACCCCTAACCATTCTGCTGAGCTGTTCCCAGTCGGGGTTTTGGGGACCCGTTGTTGGGGAAAACAAGAATCGATCCACTGCCTCCCCAGCATGCATGTCGTAAGAGTTGACTAACTGTGGGCTTTCTTTAAAGTCAGAATGCATCGGCCTGAGAGACAAGAAACCAACAGTCTGCATATAAATAAATTAGATATGTAAAATGGATTGACAGGCAAAACTCAGGTTCTGCAACAAGACTAATGTTCAGAGGTGGAGGAACAACCAGGACTTTCCGCTGGAGTTTACAGCTGGTGAATGAACAGCGGTGAAGAAGAAGAGGAGGAGGAGGACAAGAAAGGGAAAAAAGAGGCTGGGAGCTGAGCCATATAAAACCTGTTGCCTTGAAGTCGACCCGGTCAACTTTAGTCAGACATTTTTAATCAAAAGTTAAAAAAAAATTTCAAATAAAAAATAAAAAACATCAAGTTCACTTTATAGCAATTTATTTTGTTTTCTGCTGACAACTGTAATAGCATACACCACAATTTTATGCACAAGAAATTACTTTGGCAGCAGTTAAAAAAACACTAAAATGAAGCAATTATGAATAAAACATGTATTTTTTAATTCAACATATACACAAATGCCATATATGTCACAACCTTTAGACAACAATGTCAACTGAAGTACAAACATGTCTGTGATATAAGCAGGTTCAGCTGATAGTTAAATCCTAACTGATCAACTTCCGACGGCATAAAATCCTAATTAAACAAGTCTCAGTAGCATAAAATATCAGCTGATCAACTCGTGGTAGTGTAGAATCCCTACTGATCAGGTTTTGATATTGTAAAATCTCACAATGATCAACTCTGGAAACAATAGGCAGTTTCGGTTGCTAGAAAAAAATGTCAGTTAATTCAGGCTAGCAAAAAATTTCAAGTGATCAGCTCTTGATAGCCTAAAATCCTAACTGATCATTTCTTCTTAGTGCAAAATCCCAAGTGATCAACCCTTGCTAGCCTAAAATCCCAACTGAGCAACTCAAATTAATCGACTTTAATTCACAAATTAGGGAACAACTCTTGCAACACCGAACAATAAAATCACAGAAATTATGTTTTCATTTTTTTTTAGAAACAGATCCTTTTTTAGAACGAAGTGTTATCCACAAAACTTTGTCATTCTTCTAGGACAGAAAATTCAAGACAAACAATATATTCTCTTATTTCAGAGCAGAACCTATCCAGAAAGAAATATTACACAGAATTTCTATATGTGCGGAACAGATTCTGTTCAGTAGGAAATAATACATTCACCAAATCAACAAAATATCAATAATAATTGTTTCACTCAATGTAGCTAACGGTGCTAATGTTAACCTGGGATTTTGTATTTTCCCAAGATTTTCAACAGGGCTGCAGAGTATATGCCTTGATGTATTCTTCAACTTGTGTGTTTCTTCTTCTCCTTTCTTCTTTGCATTCACTGACTGTAAACTCTGGCAGAAACTTCTGGTTGCTCATCCACTTCTCGACTCTAGTCTTCTTCCAGAACTTGAGTCTTGCGTGCACATCTGTTCTACAGATCTGGCTTACATGTATGCACACTGTTGGTCCCTCGCCTTTCAGGCTGATGTACTCAAACTTCGAAGGAAACGTCCCTAATTATTAGACTCTTTCAACATGCTTGTTGGGGGTCAGTAGTTCTGATCTATTCTTTATTCACAATAGGGCCCCTGTTTAAGCTGTACACTGAGGGATCCATGCACTTATGGACTGAACTGCTTGATGTGCAGTGAGAGTAATGTGTCCACTACCAAACTATGAATTAATTAGCAAACCTTTAAAGTAGGTGAAATTGCATAAGAGATAAAGTTCCAGGTAATAATAAGCACTTCCTCGTGTAGGCCATTGTAGGCTAAACCAAGTTTTTACTTCTTTACCTTAAAAAGGAATTTCCCCCCAGAAGTAATTGATAAAAGTAATTATATTTCCTGAAATTTAGACTGTATTCTACAAAGTAATGAGATCCTAGAATACCCGACACTTAAACACATTTTGCCAAAAAAGGAAACCATAAGCATAATATGAAAAGAAAATATATTTGCTCAAATTTAGAAGATATGCACCTGAGTGCAAAAAATTTCCAAAACTCATATAGCCAATTTAGCTCATGGTTGTTACAGAGAAGCAACAAAGTAAACAAATTGTCTCAATATCACAAATAAAAGATTCTGCCAGAAGGAAATCACCAGAAACAAATTTCCATACCTTTAGAACAGATCTAATTCAAATGTAAATGATAAGCAAAATTTGGTTTTCTCAAACATCAAAACCTGATTTTATTCAAACGAAAATAATAAGACAAAATATATCTCAGCTTTAGAACAGGGATGATAGAAGGAAAAAAAAAAAAAAAAATTGGTGGGGAAAAATTCACACCCTCATCTTACAGCAACAAATACTGAGGAGCCATTGAGTTAAAGTGATACATGTCTAGGACTGCTACAGAAGGATCTATCTTGTGTTACTGAGTTAAAAACAATGATTCAATCAGTGCCAAGATTTGTAATACAATATGCTTGCATCTATCATAATTCCTTGCATTTAAAATGCTTTCAGCAAACACAGGCAAAAGCAAATATCATTCTAACAAAAAGCTAGACAGATCAGTTCAAAGATGGACCTGTGACATTTTGCCAGAGCAATAATGCTTCTAGCATATAAATCCAAATCAAGTAACCAGTTAACCGGTCAAAAGGTTTGGTTGCAAATCCATACTGGGACAGATTAAAAAAAAAAAAATGACCTTGGCTCCAAGGCTGATCCAACCTGGTAAATCCTGGGAAGTAAAGTTAGTCACCATAATGTTGACCATACCACCTCTTTCTTCCAGACTGAATGATATATAAAAATGTAGAGTCTAACATCGTATATCCAATGCACCACTGACGTAAAAAGGGGTTTAAAGAAAAGTTTACCCTGAGAAAAGTGAGGCATGTAACTATAAAATTCATCTACGGTTATTGCTGAAATGTCAGTGTTGGCTTATGCCAGTACTCTGTGTCCTGGAGTAGATCAGAACTCTATGGTGCTCGTAGAGGAAGTAGAGAAAATCGGTTGACTCTGGTGTTATGTGTGGATGCTGGGTGAGTGCAAGGGAACATTGTTATTCATCATCAGGATCTCTCTCTCTCAACACAGCAATGGCATCCTTCACTGCATGGTAAATGATATTCTTCACCTTCAGAACAGAGACAAAAAACATGTGAAAGACGGTGTCAATAACAGTCAAACAGAGAAATTAATCAGTGTTAAAATTATCTGAACTGTCAACAGAATTTCCTGGAATCATCATCTTGTGTCTTGCAATCAAGCTTCACCACATTCTACGATCTCCAACAGTAAGTATTATTTCAAGTGCCGACACCCATCTATAACATGACAAAAGGCTATCAAACATCTTTTCTTGTTTTTCTTAATCTCTTCTTCCATAAATTGCTAAAGCTGTCACTCAATGAGGAAGTTTTTCTTTTCTCATAATATGGCCAAAAATCTCTTTCTGATGTCTGTAATACGTTTCCCTCTAAGGATATAAAACTGTGTGGTGCAGATTCAAACACAAGACCTTTAAGCATGTAGCCACTACTGTGGTTCCACATGTGGAACACACATAGTGGTGCAGTTATAACGGGGCTCATAGTGGTGCACCAGCAACCGGGCTCATAGTGGTGCACCAGCAACCGAGCTCATAGTGGTGCACCAGCAACTGAGCTCATAGTGGTGCACCAGCAACTGAGCTCATAGTGGTGCACCAGCAACCGAGCTCATAGTGGTGCACCAGCAACCGGGCTCATAGTGGTGCACCAGCAACCGAGCTCATAGTGGTGCACCAGCAACCGGGCTCATAGTGGTGCACCAGCAACCGAGCTCATAGTGGTGCACCAGCAACCGGGCTCATAGTGGTGCACCAGCAACCGAGCTCATAGTGGTGCACCAGCAACCGAGCTCATAGTGGTGCACCAGCAACCGAGCTCATAGTGGTGCACCAGCAACCGAGCTCATAGTAGTGCACCAGCAACTGAGCTCATAGTAGTGCACCAGCAACCGAGCTCATAGTGGTGCACCAGCAACTGAGCTCATAGTGGTGCACCAGCAACCGGGCTCTCAGTGATCAAGACCAATCTACACCTCTCCATGCTTATCCAAGAAACAGGCTCCCAACTGAAGCCTGGCCAGCGCTGACAGGATCAATATTTCTTTTGTAGTAGGAGTATATCTGCATGAGAGGTAAGGAACCAACAGTCTGCACACAAGTAAGCCAGATATTTAGAAAGGACAGCCACGCAAACCCTGGAACAAGATACAGTCTAGAAGTGGATGACCAACAGGAACTTTCTGCAGAAGTTTACAGTTGGTGAACTCAGAAAAGGCGGAGGTGGAGGAGGAAGAAGAAGAAGAAGGAGGAGGAGGAGATAGGAGGAGGAGGAGGAAGAAGACGACAAAGAAGAAGAAGAAGAAGGAAGAAGAAGGAAGAAGAAGGAAGAAGAAGAAGAAGAAGAAGAAGAAGAAGAAGAAGAAGAAGAAGAAGAAGAAGAAGAAAAAGAAGAAGAAGAAGAAGAACTGAAGCAAATAAAACAAAACTCTCAGCAGTGGCAGCTTCTGTCTTACCTGCAGCTTGTCCTCATGGTTTGAGTGTGTTTCTGAGAGCTGACGAAACTCCTGCGTCAAACGAAAACAGTGATTCAAGTGTTCTGGGGACACAAAGTCTTCTGCCACCTTGACACAACTGTGCAGGTTCCGCACCTACAGATATAAACACCGGAGAAATTTTGATGGCCAAAAGACTAGATTAATTTTAAACATTATACTGTATGTATATTGATTTCTGCAACTATAACTACAATCAATGATTACGAATCTTTTTATTTTTTTTTATCTTCTTCAGCATTGCAAGTTCTTGAAGTTTACTGCAGCAGATAACCCGCCTCCATTCATTACTATGATTGACCTTCTTTCTCCAGATTATGAAAGCTACTTAAAATTAATTTAACTTTAAAATGGATTAACTATAATTATATTTCCAGTTAAAATACCTTTTTTTCCCATTCAAATTAAAACCGATTATTACCGACTGGTGCTTGTTTCAGCTCTTCAAGGACAGTATAAAGTACTCTGTTAGTTTTAAACAAGTGCTTGTTTCAGCTCTTCAAGGACAGTATAAAGTACTCTTGTGATTTTAAACAGAGTATTCAAAATTAATGAAAAGGACAAAAAGAAACAAAACAGACTAGTAGAACTTATGCTGTAATGAATGCATGGATACGTTCTTGAAGTCTATGCCGTGTGGCATTGGTATTCATGTCTATCCACAACCTTTTGTCTGTTGCACTTTTAATCAACTCTGATATAGATGATCCTCCATGCCATGACGGATACATTAGTTTCAAATTCTGCTTTCTCAAAGGATTTAATTCTAGAAACTAGAAAGATCAGCGATAGAAGAGTGTCAAAGGCAGACAGAGAAAGAATGCTGGATGGGCGAAGACAGTAGTTTTCAAGAATGCCATCAACAGAACTGATCTAGAAAACTAAACTGGGATTAGATTATAGTCATCATGTCTTCTCAAACTCTTCATGTCCAATGAGAATGAGTAAATCGAATGACAGGGCTAAACTACAAAAAAACCAATGTTTCGAAGCACTAATGTATTGAACAATGAAGAGAAAACCATTGCCACCCTTTTCCAGATCCTTCATACTTCATCTAATCCCACCTCCATTCCACAACTACAGAAATTTTAGGAAACTGAATAAACATGACACAAAATATGACTGGAAAACTCAGCAAAGGGGAAAAAAAAGACAGGCTAATATACAAACATTTTGACCAAAGCCTTTATCAGTTAATTTGAACAAAGAAGACACAAACAATAGACTGCACAATTTATTGCCCAGCATATTTCGCTGTATCTTGTCAGGTGCATACTACAGTAACAATTTATTAAATTATTATCAGTTAATTAGACAAAAAATAAAAAGAATCATACTTCGTAAAAGAAATGAGAAAATGCAGAGCGTTGAGTTAGTTTATGCTAGGAAAAAGTGGAATGCAAAAATATTTACAAACTGGCAAGGGGTGCTGAGAAAAAAAACAGAAAAAGGAGAGAAGGAAATATTAATTATAAATTAACTGAAACAGATGTTAAAAAAAACAATATCCAGTGATTTATTGTGTTGTAGGGTTATAATGAAATCCATATAATTCAGATCTGAACAACTGAATATTACTGCTGAAAGAGCAATTTATCTATGAGATAAGTACATCCCAAAGTATTCTGAAACAATGGATGCATATTTCAACTAACCTGGTGAGGTGCTCCAGCGGGGATGAAAATGGCGTCTCCTAAACATTGGACTATTGTGTAACCTTGAACCCCATACTCCCGCAGAAGTCTGTCACAAAGTTCTTTGTCCAGGTACCAGCTCTGATCATGTATTGCATCATGATCTCTTTCTATAATCTCACCACGCTCTTTTGCAACCTGAAACACACAAAATCAAATGTGTAATACTCCAGTAAAGTAAACTGTCTCTAGCAGATGACTTCTTTTTTCTTCCTCCTCTATGAAATTTTTGTTTCGGATGTACTTGTATTGTTCCTCATGACAATACAACTGTGTTACATAAGTGTCTTTTAGCTGACACATTCAGACTTCTTTAGGGATTTGCTGACACGGTAAGGGCAAATGACATGGTGCAATATTCTTAATAAATACAAAACCTGTGACTTCCATTACATGTGACCCATTCTGTCACTGCAAAATATTATGGATAGTGTGATGATTCAGTATAGTACTGACCTAGTCATTTTTCTCTCTCTCACACACACACACAATAAGAAACAGTAAGCAACAAAACAGATGAAAGACAACATAAAATAAACTTGTTAGGAAATCACATATGGTTTATCTCATCTGTGAAAAATATGAAGAGAAAAAACTGGGTACAAGACAAAGACATGACGTGCCATACTGATGCGTCTGCAGACACGGTTTGTCATCTCACACAATTTTCAGGATCAAGAATCAGAACAGTGTTCTTGCCTTGGCTAGGCCATACAGTATTTATCTCAGACTTCCTCTTTTCTTTAATTTGACCAGTTATCATATATTTGTGTCAGATGTAAAAAGAAGTGATTGCAGTCGAGCTGACAACACCTAGGAGATGCCGGGGTGAAAGGAAATGAAACAGCCGAGAGACTGGCCGTGTCTGCTGTGGCTGTTGGAAAAAGAAGTATGGACAGGGCAGACATACTGAATGTGCTGCATTCTATAGATAATGAGATAAAGAAGTCTGCACTGCGAAGATGAACCATCTGTTGGAAGTGAGTATTAAACTAGGACAAGCATGCAGATACCAGTCACAGGGAAAAGAAAGAAGATGTTCCAATCAGCTCCTGCTGGGGACGCTGAGCATAGAGAGACTGAGATGGCTGCTGCATCGGGGGATGGAGCATGAATGGGTCGGACTGACGTTCTAGGATTACAAATGAGTAAGTAATAGAGCTATAACAAGAAGTACTAAATACCAGATGGGTGTATTAGATGCGATTATTGGAAGCGGTACATGTTGCTTGTGATCGATAAGTTTTCCGGGAGGTTTTTATGAGAGTAAAGTTCTGCAAAGGACATACTGACTGACTAAATACAACACAAACTAGAAAGCTCAATACAGCCCTTTATATTAATATATCTCTGTTGTTTGTCTGTTGAGTTTTCTAGTCACAGTCTGTACTGTATTTGGTACTCTGTCAACAAAGACTTTGGTCAAAACATTTGGCTGTATCTGTGCACGTCCAAGCCAATGATAGCATCTACCATCTATGATTTTGTCTGCGTCATGCTTCTATTGCTTTCACAGCAGCTATTCAGTGATATACCAATAACAAAAAGTCAATTTTATTTCTGATCTTTTTGGTCTTTCTGCTATTTTAGGTAAATGACCTGGGCAGTTTTCATGACTGCATTCTTTAAAGTTATCTTCCAAACATTTCTATAGATGTCAAGGGACATTTGGTCAATGTCTTATAACTATTACTAGATGTGAAATCCGATTCACCTTTACATGTTTTCTAATTCCCATATGAACCATTGGAAATACTGTCATAAAATTTTTCCACACTTCCATCTATCAGTGTATGTGGCTAAGGCTTTGCAAATGCACTTTGCAATTCTCAGCTACCCAGAACGATTCCAGCTGAGGGCAATTTGACGGCAGACCGCTTTGAGTTGTGTTCAACAGTGGTATTAAGAGCCTACCATTCAGTAAGCAATAGCAAACTACTCAATGTAAAATTTCCTGGTAAAACCAAAGAGCCAACAAATGCTTGGATTGGTTCTGGAAATTCCTGTAGAGGATAAACAACTAATGCATCCAACCATTTCAAACCATCATTCAACCACTCCTTTTCAGATATTCAATCACTTCCAGATGTGCCCAAATATGTCAATACATCTATACCCATATGCATAACTGGAATGTATACCACAATTTAGCTGCATGTTATTGACATTCTGAAATGTTGTTATTCCCATACGTTTGGAAGACTCATGTTCTTTTGCTTTTCCCTCTCTGGGTTATTACCTAAATGTCTAACCACCCTGAGATTACAAACATCTAAATCTTATGAAGAAGATGTACACCAACATCCCATTAACAGAAACTCACTTAAGAAGATCATTTGGTTAACTTGAAATAAATTTAGCAGCGATGTACTATTCATAATAAACGTATTTATTAGTACCCCGTAGCAAACAACAATGTTTAAACATCAACTCTTGAATCGGCTTCTTGGAATTCCCAGGTTAACTAGATATTTCTGTAATTGGGTCACCAGTAAAAGCTACACTAGTGTGACGCAAACTGCAGTCCTGTGTGGGTAAGGGTATTCAACTGCTTCACAGCTTTCCCTTAAGCATCATAACACTACAGAGTTACACATTGACAAAACTGTTTTGGAATCATGGCCAGCTCTGTGTCTAGTTATATCACTGTGTCACACCATGTTGTGCTCTGGCAAAACTAATGCATTATTTTTCTTAAACCGTCACCAAACATTTGAAACTAGTGTTGAAAACAGAGACAATTGCAGTCCAACAGATAAAGAAAAGAAAAGAACACAGTATAAAATCTCTGACAATTTTCAGTGCACATAAGAAAAAATGCACCCGGCTTGTGTAGAGCCTGTCAAAGAAATCCCTAGACGAATTGGGTCTTTGTCGAAAATCGGAATCAGTGCACATAAGTGGACTTTTAGTCAATTTACAACAGGCACCGTCAGTGTGGGAATGTCCCATATGTAATGATGGCAATGTTTGGTCCATTCATTCACCACAAAATATGTGTGTTTTCTGGATTGTTTGTTGTTATAGTGTAGCTTTATTTGCTGATAAATGCTTTGGTTGAAATAAATTACACAGCTACTCCCAGGGTATATCCACATGCGCACAGACTCCTTCTTCAGTAGCCAACAAATAGTTCTTGTGCTGAGAATGCCAGCAAAAAAGGGAACCCTTTCCAGGCCACTGGCGTATTAGGCATATGGTGCTAGACTCATAATATTCATTAGACCATCTGGCACTCAACAGAAAATGTGGTCAGTATCACACTGGCAGCCTTTTCTTCTCATGACATTTCCTGATACTCACTTTATGCTGGAAAAATACTCTAACATATTAGAAAAGGAAAAATACATAACACAAGTAATCAATAATCACGAACAGTGTGACTGAAGCATTAAATTGAATTCATCCCTGGGACATAACAACCTGGCGTGTATCAGGTGACTCATGCTGAACCTCCGTGAACTTTATGTTGACAGGAAAATGTATATGAATGTGGATTTTTAAAAATACAATGAGGTCATATGGACACCCCCCCCCCCCTTTTTCCCCCATACTTTTTCAGTTACTGTATTCACATTTGAATCACATAAAAACAAGGCAGACACACAAAGAGCCAATGGCATTTAACTATGCTTTCTGAGAACAGTTCACTGCAGAAATGGCTATATATCTGCATTTATGGAGGCTGTGGCACAACCAGATGTGACCAGATTTAGCCATCTCAGAGCAAAATGATTGATCCCAAAATTACCAACCTACCTTCTTCTTGAGCCTTTCTACCTCCAGGTCCATCTCCAGGAACTCCCACATAGACCATCACATTCACAGCATCAGATATGTCCAGGTGCAAGTTTGTTGTGCCCTCTTTCGGAAAGTGTGAAGATCCGTAAGCATTATACATCTTAGGCCCCAAATCTGGACGAACAAGGAAGTCAGGCAGGCGGGAGGCCAGATTCAGTTTGCCATTTCTGTGTGTGTACTCTGGCAGTGGCAGTGCATTCATCAAGTCTTGGAACCTTGTGGGCAAGAGCTCGCTAAAATCGTCACCTGGTGGCCAGTCTTTCAACTTCAGCAGCATGGGTTGGTCATTGTTGTCTATTGGTCGATCTATTAACAAAAATATATAAACAGTACATAAGAGAAGAATCCTTGTGGGGTCAAGGGCGCCAATTTAGGGGAATGGGGTGGGGGGGGGGGATTTACCCAATGCCCTTGAAATAAGCATGCTGTAAAAGGTGACTAACTTGAGGTGTTTCCTTTGAAATTGGAGGGCATATGCCTGAGAGATGAGGAACTAATAGTCTGCACACACAAAATGCAGATCCATAAAACACGAAAACTTAAGTTCTAAAATAAGACAAAAGTTTAGAAATTGACAAACAGCCAGAACTTGCCAGAGTTTACAGCCACTGAAGGTAAAGAAGAAGAAAAAAATCAGTAACGACTGAAGTTTGCTTTGTTAAGCCCTAAAGGGTGGCTTGATCAGTACTTGTATCCAACAATCTTTACTTAGAGGGTGATGGATAAAAATGATGAGCAGCTAAACAGTATTCAGAACTGGATAGCCAGTTAGATCTGTTAGGCCAGCCGTTCTCAACCTACGGGTCCTGACCTCTTTGGGGGTCAAATGACCTTTTCACAGGGGTCACCTAAGACCATCGGAAAACACATATTCACTAGCGAACGAAAGAACAAGAAGATATATTCACTCAAGTTTTAAAGTAGCACAAAAAAAATTTTATGGTTGGGGGTCACCATAACATGAGGAACTGTATTGAAGGGTCACAGCATTAGGCAGGTTGAGAACCACTGTGTAAGGCAGATCTCATTATAAATACAATTACTAGGACATCCTACCTCGCATAGGTTCTGCTCTCACAAAAAGAAACTGAACCCTTTGTGAGTATATTTGCAATGTGCCTCATGATACAAATTCACTTAATGTGAGCAATGTAAAAGAAATTTGAGAAAGTGAAAACAACCTGATGCTGTGAATTTGATAAAATATTTAAACTGATAGAAAGAGCAAGACAGGACAAAGACAAGCATTTGATTTTCTTTACCAGCTGATAGTATATGACATCAAATGAAGAAAACGCACATTTATCACATAATTGTCTCGATTATTTTCAAGTACCGCACCACACCACATTAATTAATTATGAAACACTCATGAGAAAGCTCACTGCTTGTCTAACTTTGGAATGCAACTGTGTATAGTTTACTTCCTTTAGACCAGTGGTTCTCAACCTTCCTAATGCTGTGACCCTTTATTACAGTTACTCATGTTGTGGTGACCCCCCAACCATAACATTATTTTCGTTGCTATTTCCCAACTTCAGTGAATATGTATTTTCCGATGGTGATTCCTGTGAAAATGTAATTTAATCCCAAAGGGGTCGCGACACACAAGTTGAGAACCACTGCTTTCGACAGATTTAACTTTTTGGGTCCCAGAGGGTTTATCATCATTGGGGTTCTAGGTAGGAACCTATGAACATATGATGCGTTTCATTTGACTCAAAGAGTTAATCAAAGATACATGCTCTTTTCACCTGACAGTAGTTTTTTTTTAACTGTAAACAATTTTGGCATTGCATCTTTCCTGTGGCAAACTACGGATGTGACTTGTGGACTATCTCACAGTCCCTAATGAAGAAAAAATGGGCTTTTGAGCTGAAATGCTATAGAAATATTCTCAGAATACCATGGACAAAAAAGAACAGAAATACTGACATCCTAAAAAATCTGAATATCAAGGAAGATTGGATAATAAACAGCATCTTGTCTCAGAAGCTGAAATATTTTAGCCATATCAAGCACAAGACGGATAGAAAAAAAATACTAGCAGAAGGCATAGTGCCAGGAAGGAGGGGAAGGGGCCGTCCAGCACAAAGTTAGGCACATGATATAAGGGACTACTTGTGGTGTGGAAGTGCATGAAGTGGAAGAGCTGGTGAGAGACAAGAGTTTCTTTCATGTAGGCTGTGATGAGAGCGACATTCCACAAAGGATCTGCTACATGATGAGTGTGTTTTTACTACCCATTATTCCCCGTGTGGGTTCCGGGGCTCTATTATAGGAAAAACAAGAACAGAACCCCTGACTACCCAAAAGCATGTCGTAAGAGTCGACTAATTGGGAGCTTCCTTCAAAGCGGAATGCATCTGCCTGAGAGGCAAGGAACCAGCAGTCTGCCTACAAATGAGTCAGATCTGTCAAATGGGTGCATGCGCAACACTAAAGTTCTGGAACACGACTACAGTCTGATAGTGGATGAACAACCAGAAATTTCCGCCAGAGTTTACAGCTGGTGGACACGAAGAGGAAGAAGAACTACCTATTATTAGCAATTTGGGTGTCCAGCTGCCGTGGGATTTTATTGTGTACAAATTGGACTTCCTTTTTTTTTTTTTATCTGCATCAGAGAAGGTTAGGTCTTCATTCTCATTATCCAAGAGATCAAGGGTATGTGTGATACCATTAGAAACTAAAATTGGCAAGGTTTACTGGGAAGGTTACGGGTAGTGAGCATACTTTGGTCTTCTTCTCTAGACTATGCCGGCGTAGTGGGTAATGAACAGGCAGATAGATTGGCTGGATCTGCACCACTGGGTGGTTAATTGATACATGACAAGGCAGATGTGGTCAAGGTCCTTTGGGAACAAGCAATGGAATCAGCAGAGAAATAGATTATTATGGCCTGGAGAGAATGAGGCACCTGGGTGTAACCAGAGGGTCTGGCCGGCCTTACTACACTGAGAGGAAAGGCAAGACGGACATATAAGCCAGATTGTGACCGGTACCATCAATATTGCAACTCTGTGCTGGCTGCTGAAGATTAGGATGCAGCACGCATGGGAATGCCCCAAGTGTTGTGATGTCAATTCTTGACCTCAACTCAACTCGAGAAATTAACAGGTAAAAATATATATCCTTGTGTTGGGTTGCAAACTAATTTTTAAGCAACAGAAAGACACTGCAACCTCTCAGCCATATTTTCCATCAATAAAGATCTCCCCTCCCATCTAATCTATCACAGGCACACTTTATGATACCATTTAACATTTACAGATGAGCAATGTTTCCATGAATATTATTACTCTCAGTAACAATTTTACAGACTGCACAGAAAAACTCACTTTTGAGACTTTCAAAACCTCCCCAGAAATCACCCATTGTGTGGCCAATGATGACATCCCCAGTTCGACAGTTGACGACCTCGTTCTCAATGTCACCAAACTCTCTAATGAACACTTCTGGCTTCCACAAGCTGATATTCATCTTCTTATTGGCACAGGAGACCAACACCGGCTGCACAGAATAGATGCAAAAACACTTAGTGTCTTTATTACACATAACAAGTATCACAGTGACAGTCTTTCTTGTATCTATTGTAATGTAGTTATAACATTGTTAAATGTAACAAATTCCTTTTGAGTTTTGAAATCCCCAAGTGGGTTCTGCAGCCACGCTGTAGGGAAAACAAGAATAGACCTAATCCCTCCCCAACAAGCATGTCATAGAAGTCAACCATGTGGAGGCTTTCTCTAAGGAAGGTGCAAATGAAGAACAACCTAATGTACCAGTCTCTTATCAACAAAAGAAGAGAATAATCAAATCAATCAGAAAGCCACCAAAACCGGTTATTATTCTACGCCTTAGAACAGGACACAATTGACTTTCGCAGCCACATGTACACAAAATTTAAAATCGACGAATCAGCCATGTGCACATGTGGACTGGCACCTGAGACAACCAGTCATGTCCTACAAGACTGTCCCAAATAGAACATATTAAGGCAAAACTTTTGGCCAAGAGAAACATCGGTGCAAGTCAAACTTACGGGTCGCTGAGTGAATTACAAAAGACAGTGAAGTTCATACAAGAGACAACATTGCAGATATAGATAATATATTTTATGCGAACGAAAGAAGAAGAAGAAGAAGAAGAAGAAATGTGGTCTGCGGTTAAAGTCATAAACATATTCACGACTCAAATTTTTAATCACATTAATCATGCAGCAGATCTTTGATCTTTAAGAAACACATTATCATTACAGCCTTCCAAGAGAACTCTAAATCTGTTGCTAGTTGCCTGCCTTATGAACTTTCCTGCGTAGGGGGCTTGAATGTTCTGTGTCTGCCTTCACGCTGTCGACCACATGCCTCTAGCAAAACTACAATTAAATTAAGTAAATGACCATTTCCCACTCCTTCAGGCATATTAGGGCTAGACCTATATTTTATAGACCAATCGGCACTTGGTGGGTGATATGGTCAGCATCACGCTAGTCACTTTTACTTTCCAGAACTGTACCTGCTACCCATTTGAGGCTGGGAGCCAAGGTCATTTTTGAAAAAAAGTCTGTCTCCATCAGGACCCGAACCTCTCACCTTTAGATTCATAGGTGAGTGTCTAGCCGCTGCACTACAGCGGCTTCCTAGAAAACTAAATAGAAAGATTAAATTTGTGAAACGTTACCTGTCCTCTCTGCCACTGCTCCTGAAATATCTGCACATTCCCCTTATGATGAGCATCATGCAAGCGCAGAAGCCGTCCATTACAAAGCCAAGAGTGCGGCACGTCTGGGTACAGCACACTGGTTTCCGTTAAGCTGTGTTCCATAATGGGCAACTCCCGCTTCCAGCCTCCCAACCGAGGGGTATAGTGAAGGAACTTGAATGGAGTGCCACCGTCTGTGCAGCTTCTCTCCACCACTGACTGTATGATGTCATCAAGGGAACTCAGGCCACTACCTTTCTTCACTTTCTTTTCATTGGTAACTTTTGGCTAGAAAACATGTAAAGATATAGATGGAAGTGCTTGTGAATAGGAAAGTTATGTTTACGACAATTTAAAAAAAATATCTCATGGACTGATTAAAATACAGCGGCACCTCGACTTATTAACTGCTACAAACTGCTCTACATACAAACTTTTCGAGATGTAAACCACGCTCATGGAAAAAAAAAAATTAAGTTCATTAGTCAGGGCACCACAGCATATATAAACTTTGATACTGCAAAGTTATTTACTCTCAACTATTCTGCTGACCTTACATCTTTTATTGCTTCAAGTGTCTCGGGAGTTTTTTGTTTATTTACGCCACCTCAACCATACACATGACACTACCGTAGAGTTTCAAGGATGTTATTTTGTCCATTCTGTTACTGGTCTGCCTTAGGCTCTACATCCCTTTCCTCTTGTGGTATATGCCTTTTTTTGTGTGGTTGGCAGGAGGTGTAGATGCTGAAACTCAAATGCTGATAAGGGTGCGTGGTCTCAAGGCATTGTGTCCGCCTCGAGTGCTAGAGGTCCTGGGTTCAGGCCTCGATGAAGGCGGGGATTTTTTTCAAGTGGACTTTAAGTAATTTACCCTGGTCTCTTAGTAGGACCAGACGCCTGTGTGTATTATTGTAAAAAATCCCTTGGCAGTTGGAAATGGAAAAGAGAAGTAGCCTAACAGGGCTGCCCTGGCAAAATCTGGAGTTAAAAATCTACCCCAAATATTTCAGGATCCTCGCTAGTGCTACACCTGTGCACTGCGCTGAGCTACTTTGGACTCAAGATTTGAGTTAGAAGCAGAACAGAGCACTTATGAGTTACTACCCTTTTGCTTTAATGTTGATCCGTTGTTCAAACCTCAAATGCTCAAAGAGGACATCTTTCGGTCAGGAGACGTGACTATATACACTGATGGGTAAGAGGTAGAAAGAGTGGATGGGGCTCAATTGCTAAAGCACAGGGGAGAAGGATGACCGATGAGAGTTTGGCATACGACATTACCACATCCAGTGAGAGACTGGATGGAGGTTGAGGCGGTAACTGCTGCGTTCCGATTGGTAGAAAAAAATCTCAGCCACACACATGGTCACAGTATCGGATTCGCAAAGCATGCTCAGGAGGGTACAGGCAGGTTTTCTTGAATGAATGAGGTCACATCAATTCAGAGGTCACCAGTGGTGAGTCACATGGATATTGATTGCTCGGGTCAACAACAACAAACTTGTATATTTAATCAGGGAATACCAGAGCTATTCAACTGGTAGGCCATAGGTGCAGATGCCTAGAAAATGGCCCATCCCACTTTTAACACTTTGGCCACCAAGTAAACTGAGTTTAAAAGTCCTGTTGCATACTAAAGCACTCCAACAACCCATCAGTCTTCTACTAGGGTTGTGTATTTGGCCCATGCGGATGTAGTATACCATCATTTTGTTTGTCACTAAAGCATTTCAACAACAGATCAGTCCTCTACAAGAGTTGTGTATTTAGCCCGTGTGGATGTAGTATACCATCATTTTGTCTGTCACTAAAGCATTTCAACAACAGATCAGTCCTCTACAAGAGTTGTGTATTTAGCCCGTGTGGATGTAGTATACCATCATTTTGTCTGTCACTAAAGCATTTCAACAACAGATCAGTCCTCTACAAGAGTTGTGTATTTAGCCCGTGTGGATGTAGCTAATACCATCATGAACAACTGCCTCCTGAACATATTTTCTGGGACTGAAAAGAATTTTGGTAATCCACCCCCCCCCCCCCCCCCCCCGCCCACCCCCCCCCCCCCCCAATAAGGCCCCTGAACCCACATGAGTAATTTGAGCAATGAAGTTTTCTCATATTTTAAAACTTTTTCACAAACAGTGTATACATAATATATATTATATATATACCTTTCCAGCTGTTTTAGTCAGCAGTTCTCTCAGTGTTGAGCAACCTAACTTTTTCTCAGAATCTTCTAACAAATCATCTCCAGGCATCACTGATTTGTGCATCTTCTTCTTCATATCTGATTTGTCCCTGTCAGAATTGGGCTCCATTGATGCAATGTCAGCTAAAATACTCAGTGGTGAAGATGTTGTATCTGGATTGTAGGATTCAAAATTCTTCAATGTGTAGGGCTCTTGATCTTTCCTCTTAGCCTTTAGAGAATTTCTGCTTGTATTTTCCTCTGAGCTAAAGCCATTCTGAAGTTTGTGAGCATTAGATAGGCTGAACACCTGCAGATAAAGATGGAAAAAGTAGAAAAACATTAGCATGATGCTTACCAGAGTCATCAAAGTCAAAGATCCTTGTCACATTGATGCATCAGGTATATGGTGCTAAACCCATATTTTATATCAAGTATATGGCACTAAACCTATATTTTATGTCAAGCATATATGGTACTAAACCCATATTTTTTTAAATTAAGTATATGGTACTAAACCCATATTTTTTTAAAATTAAGTATATGGTACTAAACCCATATTTTTTTAAAATTAAGTATATGGTACTAAACCCATATTTTTTTAAAGTATATGGTACTAAACCCATATTTTTTTAAATTTAAGTATATGGTACTAAACCCATATTTTTTTAAAATTAAGTATATGGTACTAAACCCATATTTTTTTAAAATTAAGTATATGGTACTAAACTCATATTTGTTAAAATTAAGTTTATGGTACTAAACTCATATTTTTTAAAATTAAGTATATGGTACTAAACCCATTTTTTTTTAAGTATATGGTACTAAACCCATTTTTTTAAAATTAAGTATATGGTACTAAACCCATATTTTTTTAAAATTAAGTATATGGTAGTACTAAACCCAATTTTTTTTTAAAATTAAGTTTATGGTACTAAACTCATATTTTTTAAAATTAAGTATATGGTACTAAACCCATATTTTTTTTAAAATTAAAGTATATGGTACTAAACCCATATTTTTTAAAATTAAGTATATGGTACTAAACCCATTTTTTTAAAAAGTATATGGTACTAAACCCATATTTTTTTTTAAGTATATGGTACTAAACCCATATTTTTTTTAAATTAAGTTTATGGTACTAAACTCATATTTTTTAAAATTAAGTATATGGTATTAAACCCATTTTTTTTAAAAATTAAGTATATGGTACTAAACCCATATTTTTTTTTAAGTATATGTTGCTAAGCTGTATTTTATATCAAGTACATGGTACTAAATCCATATTTTTTTTTAAGTATATGGTACTAAACCCATATTTTTTTAAAATTAAGTTTATGGTACTAAACTCATATTTTTTAAAATTAAGTATATGGTATTAAACCCATTTTTTTTAAAATTAAGTATATGGTACTAAACCCATATTTTTTTTTAAGTATATGTTGCTAAGCTGTATTTTATATCAAGTACATGTATTTTATAAAGTAAATGGTGCTAATCCCGTATTTTATATCAGGTGCATGGTGCTAAACCTGTATTTTATAAAGAAAATGGCGCTCAAACATATTTTATATCAAGTATATGGCACTAAACCCATATTTTATATCAAGTATATGGTGCTAAACCCATATTTTATATCAAGTATATGGTGCTAAACCCATATTTTATATCAAGTATATGGTGCTAAACCCATATTTTATATCAAGTATATGGTGCTAAACCCATATTTTATATCAAGTATATGGTGCTAAGCCCATATTTTATTTTACGTATATTATGCTAAACCTATATTTTATTTTAAGTATATGGTGCTAAACCCATATTTTATATCAAGTATATGGTGCTAAACCCATATTTTATATCAAGTATATGGTGCTAAACCCATATTTTATATCAAGTATATGGTGCTAAACCCATATTTTATATCAAGTATATGGTGCTAAACCCATTTTTTATATCAAGTAGATGGTGCTAAACCCATATTTTATATCAAGTATATGGTGCTAAACCCATATTTTATTTTACGTATATTGTGCTAAACCTATATTTTATTTTAAGTATATGGTGCTAAACCCATATTTTATATCAAGTATATGGTGCTAAACCCATATTTTATTTTACGTATATTGTGCTAAACCTATATTTTATTTTAAGTATATGGTGCCAAACCTATATTTTACGCCAAGTATTTGGCACTAACACCATATTTTATATGAAGTAAATCAAGGTTGTGCATTCAGGTCTTGATGGAGAGACTTTTTTTTTTTTTAAAACTGACCTTGGCTCCCATGATGGCCAAGCCTTGAGTGGATACCAGGTATAATTGTGGGAAGTAAAGGCAGCCAGCATGATACTGACCTTATCACCTCATCGAGTGCCGATTAGTCTATAAAAATATAGGTCTAGCCCTATATGCCTAATATGCCTGAAGGCAAGAAAAAAATCTGTAATCGATGAGTGATCATGTTGGCCAGCTTTACTTTCCAGGATATTTCCTGACATCCATTTGAGGTTGAGTCAACCTGGGAGTCTAAGGTCAATTTTAAAAAAAATCCACACATGAGTATAAAATTAGACATTCCAATGGGTTTTGCAGCAAAAATGATTAGAAGTTATAATGGTTTTTTAAATGATGAAAATGGTGCTAAATATAAAATTAATAAACCATTACTCTTTACTACAGTAGAAGGCTCTTGTTTTAAAATTTTCCTCCCTTTTTTCAGATGTGCTCACTGAATAACCATGCTGGTCCAATATGGCAGAAAGTGTGTTTTGCTGGCCTTGTCAGGGTTATTGAATATACCACTTTTCACATGGTACAGTGCCAAACATTTTGTGTGGTTTTTGCCAGTACAGGAATGGAACAATTATGGAGTGAATGTGCAACTAACAAGAATAAAAGTGCTACATGTGCAATGAGTTCAAACATAATAAAGAATATCACCTGACTCAAGCCATTCCTAGCTGTAATTCTGCTATCTGTGCTACTGCAACCACAGGGACAGTTTGATGGAATTGACCACTTAGAACGAATATCATGAATCAACCTTCCAAGCTCCCACAGGGCTGTCAATGACAAGAACACACAACAGCTGTACAGGGTAACAAGTGACAATGTGATCTATCTATGTCAGTGGAAAAGATTCATACTCTGCGCTTCACTATATGTTGACATAAACTCTGTAGTAATGCACCTGATGAGATACCGTGAAATCTGCGGGCAATCAATTGAACAATTTATTCTCTTAGTCCTCATTATCTACAGAATAATCATCTTCTTTTATCCTTCCTCGTCTTTGTGCTTGCAAGGTGTAAACTCTGGCAGAAAGTTATGGTTGTACATCACCTTCTAGACTTTTAGGCTTGTTCCAGAACTTAAGTTTGCATGCACAGCCATTTTACAGGTGGGACTTAATTGTGTGCAGACTGTTGGTTCCTCACCTATCATGGCAGATGCACTGAGACTTTGAAGGTACAGACCTAATTAGTCAGCTTTTATGACATGTTTTTTAGGGTGGTAGTTGGTTTATCCCCTCCCCCCTTCCATAGGGCCCCAAGAACCCAAACTGCCTTCGTCCAATATCTGCTCTGTGCCACTAGGTGTCGCAGTTTAATGGGCATACTCAGTTGCTTGGTATGCTTCCTTTAAAGCTGGAGTGCATCTGCCTGAGAGGGAGAAACGAACAGTCTGCATATAAATACACCAGATTTATAAAACGGATGTGCACACAAAAACTCAAGTTCTGGAACAAGACTAAAGTCATCCAGAAGAGACAAACAATCAGAACTTTTTACCGCAGTTTACAGCCAGTAAATGAAAGGAACTAGAATGTTTGGCTTGCTGTGAGGCTTTACGCTGGCCAGTGACTCCTTTAATCCATCTTCTTTTAGGTCTCCGTCACCGCAGTTTACAGCCAGTAAATGAAAGGAACTAGAATGTTTGGCTTTCTGCGAGGCTTTACGCTGGCCAGTGACTCCTTTAATCCATCTTCTTTTAGGTCTCCATCACCGCAGTTTACAGCCAGTAAATAAGAACAAGAGAGTTTGGCTTGCTGCGAGGCTTTACGCTGGCCAGTGACTCCTTTAATCCATGTTCTTCTAGGTCTCCATCACTGCAGTTTACAGCCAGTAAATAAGAACAACAAGAGAGTTTGGCTTGCTGTGAGGCTTTAAGCTGGCCAGTGACTCCTTTAATTCATGTTCTTCTAGGTCTCCCTTTGCCTCTTGGTGTTTTCATTTTCATGTTGTATGCTCTTGCTGCCAGCATCACTGGGTTCTTACTGGGCGGCTGTACCATTTAAGTGTTTATTTCTCAATGAATTTAATGTGTACTGTTTCAACAGTTCTTCTAATCACTTCATGTCTTACATGAACCTTTCTGGCTTTGTTCAGCCTTTCTCAAATATCTCATTGCACAGGTGGTTAGTTTTCTCTCCTATGTGTGTGAGAAAGCTGAAGTTAGTTTTCTTTCCTATGTGTGTGAGATGGCTGAAGTTAGTTTTCTCTCCTATGTGTGTGAGATGGCTGAAGTTAGTTTTCTCTCCTATGTGTGTGAGATGGCTGTACTTAGTTTTCTCTCCTATGTGTGTGAGATAGCTGTACTTAGTTTTCTCTCCTATGTGTGTGAGATGGCTGTAGTTAGTTTTCTCTCCTATGTGTGTGAGATGGCTGTAGTTAGTTTTCTCTCCTATGTGTGTGAGATGGCTGAAGTTAGTTTTTCTACTTAGACCGAGATGCTGTGGTTAGTTTTCTCTCCTATGTGTGTGAGATGGCTGTACTTAGTTTTCTCTCCTATGTGTGTGAGATGGCTGAAGTTAGTTTTCTCTCCTATGTGTGTGAGATGGCTGTGGTTAGTTTTCTCTCCTATGTGTGTGAGAAAGGTGAAGTTAGTTTTCTCTCCTATGTGTGTGAGAAGGCTGTGGTTAGTTTTCTCTCCTATGTGTGTGAGATAGCTGAAGTTAGTTTTCTCTCTTATGTGTGTGAGATAGCTGAAATTAGTTTTCTCTCCTTTGTGTGTGAGATGGCTGTACATAGTTTTCTCTCCTATTGTGTGTGAGATGGCTATGTGTGTGACATAGTTTTCTCTCCTATGTATGTGTGTGAGATGGCTGTAGTTAGTTTTCTCTCCTATGTGTGTGAGATGGCTGTAGTTAGTTTTCTCTCCTATGTGTGTGGTTAAGATGGCTGTGTGTGACTTAGTTTTCTCTCCTATGTGTGTGAGATGGCTGTGTGAAATGGTTAGTTTTTTTCTCCTATGTGTGTGAGATGGCTGAAGCTTAGTTTTCTCTCCTATGTGTGTGAGATGGCTGTAGTTAGTTTTCCTCTCCTATGTGTGTGAGATGGCTGATGGCTTAGTTTTTCTCTCCTATGTGTGTGAGATGGCTGTAGTTAGTTTTCTCTCCTATGTGTGTGAGATGGCTGTACTTAGTTTTCTCTCCTATGTGTGTGAGATGGCTGTGCTTAGTTTTCTCTCCTATGTGTGTGAGATGGCTGTAGTTAGTTTTCTCTCCTATGTGTGTGAGATGGCTGAAGTTAGTTCTCTCTCCTATGTGTGTGAGATGGCTGAACAGTTTAGCATGTCCTGTGTGTTGATGTTCTGACTGATGGCTTTCCTAATTTCATGCAGTTTCAACAGCAGTTTTCTGTGAACAATACATACTGTCAGTTTGCGGGACCCAAAGAATAATAATATATCATTATTCCCTCTGTGTGACATGCTTAAAGAATGTGGATGATCTATTCTGATTTGATAACAAGCTTTCTTTCTTTGTGAGTTAACTAATTTCTTTTAAAGCAATATCCAGACAACTTACCATCACTAGGAATAATCTGTGTTAGCATCATTTCACGTGCTTTATGAGCCTGCCTATTTGAACTACATGTCAGCCACTTATCATCAGTAATGGCTTCTGAAAATAAATCCAGTTAGGAATATCAGAACGTTTTATATTTTTGCTTAGACTAGCAATTATATCAACAGAATGGTCTAGTCTATAAAATAGTTCAACTCCTTTTGCTCCAAACAATGCCCCATATCGAATCGGTTACTGTTCCAGTGTGTCAATAAATGCAAGATGTCTTTCTGTATATATGACCTTTGGTCTGGAAATACTAAACAAATCTGACTAGATATTTTAAACCTTCTGCACAGTATATGCCTCTTTGAAAGTAAAACACTTTTGCTTTTTCCATTATGGTTAGTAACTCCCCTGGGCAGCTGCTGTGAAATCTTCTGTGACTAAAAGAGCTGACTCGAATGAAAGATAATTTAATGTGCATAAATATGAATGTACATAAATATGAATGTGCATAAATATGAATGTGCATAAATATGAATGAGAGTATATAAAAACAAGGAATATTCTAGTTGTTTGTGTGAAAGCATTGGTTTCCAACATATTTTTGGTTAACTTAAATCAGCTTCTTAGTATTTCTCATTCTGCTGAGTAACAACCGACCTGGCCGCATCATGATACCAGCTAAGTGATTTTTTTGTATCTATGTAGCATTGTTTATTTTGTGTGTGCTAACGAAGGCTCAATAGCCGGAACGTTCACATTTTGTTTGTATTTGTTATATTGTGAAGCTTGCTAATATACTTTTCGGGTTTATATCTTTTCTTAGTATCTCTGTACAATCACACATTCAAATACAAACCTTTCCTCTGATTTTAATTTGAGAATAGTGAGACATAAGGAACAGCTTGTTCTCATTAAAATAAATAGTAACGAACCATGAGACATGAATCAAGAACAGTGCAATGTCTCCCATGAACAGCGAAATCTGTCTCAAAACAATATTCAGATCTCCTTAACAACGTTGAGATTTGTCGAAACCTCTCTAAGCAGAGATTTCTCACAAGAAAAGTAACATTTCTCACAAGATCATTAAGGTTTCTCTTTTTAAAAAAAATCACAACTTTTAAAATGGCAAGATCTCTCATCAGAATGCAATACTTGTTTTTAAAAAATATCTCTCAAGCACAGTAAAAAAAAAATTTTTTTTTAAATCCCAAGAACAGCGAGGGTATTTTCCAAAAAAATGTCCATGCCACTAACACTCAGTACAAATAAAATGATTTTTTTTTAAAAAGGAAGAAAAAACCAACGTACAACACAAGAACAAACTGACTGATTAACAAACTGTCAAAATGTATAACTTACTTTTGCTGTCTTTCATACGCACTTTGAAGCAATCGAGGCACACAACAAAGCCACATTTATGGCACACCCAATGCATGTTAAATAATGTTGTGTCACAAACATCACACATCTCCCGTACACCCGTCACAGCACGCTTCCACACAATTTTCACTGAAAATAAAAAATATTAGGTGATAAATATTAGTGTTTTATTCAGTGTCAAAGGCCAATCAATATATGGTTACATGGTTACACGTTAAATATTTCATTACTGCTAAATAACAAAAATTTCACCCCAAAAAAAAAAAAAGGCCACTGTTATCAAAATGCCCTTAATGGTTCAAAACAAGGGCTATTCAACTGGTAGCCTGCAGGCCAAATCTGGCCCATTGTGGCCTGGCAAGTAGCACACACATCTTTGCCAGTTGTACTATATTAATGATCAATGCTGGGGCTTTGGTCTCTGACCTGTGATGATCTCCATGTTCACAATTTTGGCCCCTGAGTAAACTTGGTTGAATATCCATGCTCTACACCAAGCTCACTCCAACAGATACAAGTCCTTTTTATGGCTCAGGTGACCTGCAGGCCAATATATTGAGCTTAAGAGTGAAAACTTGTGGTGCCCGCAGAGAACAAAGGGAATTAAATTGTATGGTAGTTCACTAATGTAGAATTCTGGGTAAATATTAATCAAATTCCTGTGAATCAAGAGGTGAGGAGAAGAGGCTGACATTGAATTGGACACACACTGAGAAAACTTGAAAACAATATGACCAGAATGTTTTTGTACTGGAACCCACAGGGTCAGAGGAATAAAAACAGACCAAACAACACACAGAGGAGGGAAGTAGAGAGTGAAGTAAAAATAGGTGTGGATATGGAGTGAGCTGCATGTCAAAGATAGAAAAGGATAGGATGACTTGACATGAAATGGTTGAGGAGCTATGCTCCATGAGGGGATGAAGGGCAACAGAAAAAAATGAAGAAAACTCACTACAGAGCTACCAATGAGTTGAAATGTGTTAAGAATCGACATCACAGCACTCTGTCACCACCTTTAGCAGCCAGCAAAGTGTCCCAAACTGAGGGTGCCTACCAGGAGTTAGTTTGATTATATGTCCCTCTTTCCATTCCTGTAAGTGCAGAGTGTCAGCCAGATCACCCGCCCCTCCCCCCTTTTTTTCTGCTGCCTGTCGTGGAATGATAAGCCATTACACATCAGTCCTAAAGACTGGTAACTTAACTTACCTGCAAATCGGCACAACATTCAAACTTGGACTCGTCCAGGAAGATATATATAGTCCCTTATATCGATATATGCCTTCATCAGACAAAATTATAATGTCTACATCTTCTAGTTGCTTTGACTTAACACAACTTTTAAATGTACATCTAGGGGATAAATATTAGAGGAGTTATTTGAGGTTTCGTGGAAACCGATTTACTCCTTGCCCCTGTATACTAGGAACTACTTCTTACCAACGCCTGAAGAAGGCATTTTGCGCCATTCTTTTTGCCGGCTTCCAAGCGTTCAGACGTGTCAATCGACGCCTGTATAATACATTTGTAAAAGGCGATCTGTAATGTCTAGGACTTTTCATATGCTTGGGTAAGTTAATTATAGTTTACGAGTACCTAAAACAATGTCTTTTAAAGTGGTCACTGCTGTAGAGAGAGCAGTGTCGGCTGTGGGATCACACATAGTTCGACCGTTCTTGATCGCTAGAGAAGCGGATTCGAACTTAGACCTTCCTCTGTACAGACTAAATAGCCTATGCCCTAAATAACCCACCCATACTGGTAAACCTAATAACCGTACAAGTGTGTACTATTTAAACTAACAACAGAAGTTTGTGCATACAAATGGGGACAGAATTAGGTCAGGACTTGGTCAGCCAGTGTGTGAGTGTGTTTGACCCAGATCAATGAATGGTGGGACTGGCTTTGGGAGTCGTAAGGAATAGAAGTACTGACAGTAAATATTGGTGTCTGTGTGCAGACAGGAGGGGGGAGAGAGATTGATATATGTGTTAGAGTGTCTATCTATCTCCACTATATATCTGACTTTCCATCTCTTGCACTAAACAGACAGATGAATGATAGGAGACTTGTGTCTCCTGGTCTTGAGAGGCATTCTGAGAAATGAAACAGGGGAGCAAGGGTGGAGTAAGCAGATGTGGGATGATGACTGATGCTTGTTCTGTCTTTCCTGTCAAGATGTTACCCTCTTGGTGATGACTAATTCAAAGTTATTTCTTGGCAGGATGAACCCTTTGTGAGGAGCTGGCAGAAGATTCACAGTCCAACCAACACCCACCAACCATAACCCATCCATCAATTAACCCATTACCTACCAATTATCACCCAACTACCAAGTGTGGAGATTGATGTCAGTTTGAGGTGCCATATACCCCAAACTTCCTACAGTGCCAGAACATGTGTGTAGCTCATGGACAGTGCTGCTAATGACTAGTGGGAGCCATTTGCTGTGTGCTTATCCAGTGCTGTGTCCTTTATGGTGAGGTACTCCTCCACCAGTTGATCCAGTTGAGGCAGAGTCACCAAAGACAGTCGAATTATCAGGAGCTGAGGGAAGCATCATAGACGGAAAGAGGATAAGTTCAGTTTGATGCCTTATGTGCTATATTCCTCACAGCTCCCATGTTTCCCGAGGATGAAGTTGTGTCATCTCTAGATCATTCTGGCTGTTTAGGAGTCCGTGCAATCTGGACATTGTATTCTAGAATCCAGCTATTGTGATTTGGCATCTACTTCACTATTTTCTATTTGTAAATGTTGTAATGATTACATGCATTCATTTTCATGGCTGACTTAGGTTTCTCTATGTCACCTTCTTAAGTGTTTAGCAGTTGTATGTGTATGTATCTTCATTATATGTGTTAACATGGTTATGATAATGAACTATCATAACGTGGGGGCTTTCTTTAGTAAGTAGTGGGGGTGTCCAGCCAAGTGTGCCTAGGAATATTGTATTCATATACTGATATATTTTGTAGTGCCAATACTTGAGTTGCCCTACTCCAGAAATAAGTTGAGCGTATATTGGCCACGGGGAATCCCTTAGACCAATACGAGCCAAACGACTCAACATAATTATTTCTGAGTGCTGATGGTTCTGAAGGAGAAATCCTTACATTAGGCACGTGACAGGAGTGATATGTGACACCGCCCACACACACCCCATTATTTTTCTAAATCATAATAAACTATTAATGTTTCAGCACTGTTCACCTTCTCCCAAATGGCCCAGAGAGGTATCAATACAGCATCAGTGTTAGAGAACCAGCCAATCTATCTGCTTGTAGGTTTTCCAACACATCTGCACACACCAGAGAAAAAAATGCACACAGAAAAATATAGCTAACTACCTGGCACCTCCAAAGTGATGTTAGCCACCCAGCAAGCAGCATACTTTATTAAGTAACCAATGCATGCTACTCATAATGATTGAGTTACAGACAACATTTACACTTCTTGCACTTTATTATCTCTGGTTACATTCTGCAAGTGACTTCAATAACTCACCATTATCCCCTGCCCAGGATTTAGCCTGCTTCTCTTGCTCAACAAGCTCACAGAATTTATCTCCAACCTTGGCAATGATAAACTTGGAGTTCTCAACATCAAGCTCTGGGTCTTGAACTAAACGAAACCATTAAATAATTTTTTTTTTTTAAATCACTGTCATCAGAGACCAGAAACAGTATTTGAATAAGTATGTGTGCAGTTTTGCTAAAAGATAAACCCATGTAAAATATTTCATTTAAAACTTAGCTCAGAGATCTAGTTATAAGAATGTTTACATTTGGCTGTTAAATGTGAACCTTAACAGCTGAACTCAAAATAAAGATACAAGGACTGGAAATACGATCTTTCAGAAAAATTCCCCGGCATACCATGCAGAGACCACATCACAAATGACAACTGCTGGCTGGTACAAGCAATCATGCCTCTCCAAATCTGTTAATTCCAACAACATGTGTCAAGTTGTGTGCCAACACATTTCCATGACAATTAAATATGCTGACAAGATTCTTTGCCTGCCGCTTTTCTCTGTCTGGCCTTCCGATTTGCCAGTTGTTTTCTTACAATGTGACCAAAAATTATGACTTCCTCTTTGCTGTGATTTGTCATTTAACCAAGGCAAACATGTTCTATTTCAGGTTTTGTTTTATTTTTATGTATATCTGTATATTAGACAGCCATTAATGTCATTAACTCTGTAAGGACTGTTTTCGATTCATGGCAGCTGGGGAAGATAATGTGGTGGTTTCCCCCTGCTTTCCACATCCACATGGGTCTGCTACCTCTGTCCAGAGTAACTTCTAACTGTCAGGACAAGTAAATGTCCTGCTATGCTTAGTTGCAGAGCTGTCTGCTTATACCAGTGAATACTGGGTCCCCATTTAGGAGATGTGTGCAGACACATGAGCACCTACATCACTGGGCAGGGCACATGATGATGTTTGTCTGTCTGCGTTCACCAGACGTACACTCTGGTGTAAAGTCCTGGTATTTGTCCACTTCTGGACTTATGCTTGGTTCCAGGACTTGAGTTTTGCTTGTGCATCCATTTTACACATCTGACTTATATCTGTATGCAGACTTTTGGTTCTTTGACTCTCAGGCAGATGCATTCGGACTCTGAAGGAAACAAACCTAATTAGTTGCCTTTTACAGCATGCTTGTTGGAGGAAAGCAGGTGGCATATGAAGTTGGTGATGATATCTGTATATACACATAAATAACCTAATTCCCCCCGCCACCGCCAACCTTCCTATTTTTTGCATTCTAAGATACAGACACAAACAGACAATGTTTAGTCCGCTCAGACCTGGGAATCGAGGAAGCCAAGGTTCGATATCATCTGGATCGGCTTCTGACAAATCTGAGAAACCATCAATCATCACTATCCCTCGAGCATTGTACTTCAGTCTGTAAAACAATCAAAAATAAATATTCAATCACATTTCCCATCGTAAAACATAAAACACTGACATGCAAATAATTACACATTTTTACTGAAAAAAACAGTAATTTCTCAAACCTGAAAAGATAACATTTTTATGCCAGCATAATTTTAGCACTGTTTTTTTTTAATTGCTTCTTCTTATTTTGTCCTACTGCTTATGCCACAAAGCGTAGATTTCTGTCTTTGCTAGTCAAAATGCCACTCACTGTACTGCAGGGTTGCCAAAAATCGGGAAGGAAGTGGGAATAAAAGAAGAGGAACAAAATGAGTGCAGAAAAGCTGAGAGCTGAGCGCCTAAAAAGCAAACTAAATACATGTGATGGCAACAACGGTGTTGAAATCCCAAGCTCTAACTATGGAAGACTTATCTTAACGTGGGCGGGTCTTGCTAGTCACATTCCCCATCGACATAGGTTGCGATTCCCATAGCTATCCATAGCACAATATAAAAATTTTGTGTTAAAAAAAAGACAGCGCCAACAACAGAACTTTGAACCAGAGTTTACAGCTGGCGAATGCAAACAAGGGAGGTTTAATTCAACTGCAGGCAATTTGGCAGCAGACCACTGTGGACTAATTTGGACACTGTTGTGGAGCATCAACCATTCAGTGCAATGGCAAACTACTGAAGCTAATATTTTTTAGTAAAACCACAAACAACCAACAAATGCTGAGAGTGGTATGCGACTTCCTGTACAGGATTCAGCTACAGGCAATTTGGCAGTAGACTGTTTGGGGCTGATTTCCACAATGGCTAATATTAATTACTAAATGAAAAAATAAAATTCTCAACTTTTAACTTTACAACTGCTTGTTATTACTGTGAATTTGGGAGACTGATTCCCAATCAGTTATTTTTGTGTCCATCACTCAACATATCATAAATATGATTTAGATGCAGGCCTTATATCAATTCTTTATTTTGAAATTATCTGATACAGTGAAGGACAATTTAGAACTCCACATCACTTTTAAGAATACACGAACTGGGAGTAAAGATCGGCACAGCCAAGCATGAGAAGCACACTGGACGCACACAAAGTCTTGTTAACCAACATATTACAATACAGACTCAGCAATCACCTTCTAAATGCATAAAATCTACAGAAGATGTTGGGAAGTTTCTCTTTGCGCTGTCCAGGAGTCATCTTACACTCTCTGCACTTGTTCAGCTTTGGAGTAATCTCACTGCAAGGGCCATCCTGCACAAACGGCACCATTGTTCTTTTGAGTGTGGCTACAGTCATCTTTACTAGAGGTTTGTTGAATGACGAACCTGCAACAAATATACAATCTGTTAGTTTTGTAACATATATTTCTCCATTAATTCTATCACTTGTTCTGCTTTATTGCCCCATCCACATATATTGATTATCTCTACCATGGTCTTAACCTTCTGCTGTCCTCTATTTTTCCCTATTTCTAAAACTGATTTACAGAAATAAACATTAGTCTTGATAGTGCTCTAGACAGAGCTCATCAACGAATGTTACATCTTCCCCCTCCCGACCCTTTACTGAGGTGCAAGGTGGAAGAGAAGAAGAAGAAGAAGAAGTTTTGTAACAAGAATGACAAAAAGTACACCAATGGCACAAACAAGAAAGAAGAGGCTGAAAAGATATTGTCTGCAAAAATAAAATTGTTATAGCCTATTTAGAAACTCTTGTCCATATTTAAAACTAGTTAATAAAAAAAATCAACCTCATAAACATCAAATTAATCAGCCCTTTTGTGCTTGAAAGCCATCCTTAGTAAATCCCACAATGTGTCATGGCTGGGGACACTAGTTCTGTTCTGTGTTTTGGTCTATTCTTCTTCTCTGGCTTCTAAATATTGCTCTTCAGTAAACACACACTATAATAACAAGCTTTTGATATTAAACACTTATATTTTTAATATAAACTTTTACACTTATAATAATAAGATGACCGATTTAGGAATCAATATCACAACATATTAGGCACACCTATAAATGCACTGTCTCCCACAGCAAATGTCTTAGGGTGTGGGTGCGGACTGTTCCATTAGCTTACTCACATTTTCTATCACATCTTCCACCAGCACTTGTTCATAAATTGTCTTCAGAATGTCTGTCTTGTCAAATATGAATGTTCCTCTAATTGCTGCTACTGTACCCCCCCCCCCCCCCCCCACGCACGCACACATACAAAACTACTTGACAAAGAACATCTCAGGTTCAAAGTGATCAAGACATAAACTTGCTACTTGATAACAAAGATCTCATGTTCAAAGTGACCAAGACATAAACTTGCTACTTGACAACAAAGATCTCATGTTCAAAGTGACCAAGACATAAACAACTTGCTACTTGACAACAAAGATCTCAGGTTCAAAGTGACCAAGACATAAACAACTAGCTACTTGACAACAAAGATCTCAGGTTCAAAGTGACCAAGACATAAACAACTTGCTACTTGACAACAAAGATCTCAGGTTCAAAGTGACCAAGACATAAACAACTTGCTACTTGACAACAAAGATCTCAGGTTCAAAGTGACCAAGACATAAACAACTTGCTACTTGACAACAAAGATCTCAGGTTCAAAGTGACCAAGACATAAACAACTTGCTACTTGACAACAAAGATCTCAGGTTCAAAGTGACCAAGACATAAACAACTTGCTACTTGACAACAAAGATCTCATGTTCAAAGTGACCAAGACATAAACTTGCTACTTGACAACAAAGATCTCAGGTTCAAAGTGACCAAGACATAAACTTGCTACTTGACAACAAAGATCTCATGTTCAAAGTGACCAAGACATAAACTTGCTACTTGACAATGTACATCTTAAACTGAGAGAAGAAAAAAAAAAAACAGGCATATACAGCGGTCACTTACTCTTTTTACTTTCCTTTGAGGTGGATTCCTTATTAGGTTTTGTCTGCTTTTTCTTGTCCTTGATTTTCTTAATGCTATCTTCAATACTGGATTTGAGAGGAGCAGCTGTTGTACTAACTGATGAAGAGGAAGAGGATGCTGGTGACATGTCAGCGCTACTGTTCTCTGAGAAGGATGGTGAGGGTTCAGATCTATCTATGTGTGAAAACATTGATTTCTCTAAAGCTGTTGTAGCCACCTGATTATTTTTCTTCTGGGGCTTTTGCTGATAAGGACTGCCATGAGAATGTTTCAGTGACATATTCGACTGATCGTCTTTTGTGATGACTTGTGAGTCATTCTAAAATAAAGGAAAAGAAAACTCACAATGATGACATGAAACAATTGACAAAATAATATGCAACAAATTGTGAATGCGCGACCAAACTTATTTGTTTAAAACAAGGTCAATTTAACTAGTTGTGAATGCGCGACCAAACTTATTTGTTTAAAACAAGGTCAATTTAACTAGTTGTGAATGCGCGACCAAACTTATTTGTTTAAAACAAGGTCAATTTAACTCTGAAAATTTAAAATATATATAAAAACCTTAAAAAAAAACACACCTGGTTTTGCTGTATATTAAAACAACAGACACTGTGTCCATACTTTTTTAAATGACCATATTAATTACTACAAAATACCACAACACCAGAGCCTCAATTTATGTTTATATATGATTTTTATTCATTGTTTAGATTTCTGATTCATTAAGAGGGTTTGTGAATACATGCATTTTTATTCTGTGTGTATTTTTCTCTAAATGATTAAACCTAATTCTTTACATCAGCGGTTACCAATTAGCTGACTACTTAGTTATTTTTAGAGGTGCTACAGACTCCCGGAACGCTTCGTAATGCCGGGGTGTCGGGTTCGATCCCAGCTGCTGGCCATGCGCCTTGCGTTGGTTTCAACAGTGCTATCAGGAGGCGGACTGTCCAGAAAGTAATGGCAAACTACTGGACGTAAATTTGCCTAGAGAAAGCACACAACAGCCAGGGGCTGCTGGGGTAGGTTCTGCAACGTCCTGTAAAGGATACGCAACTAACCTAACAGACTCCTTACATTTTTTAATGTCATACTAAAGATTTTATAATTTACAAACATTGGAATCACAATAAGGTTTGCATTCTAAACTTGAGGCTTTTTATTTGTTGATATCAGAGACCTCTTAAATCTGTTCCCTGGACTTTCAGTCTGCTGTAAATAAATACACATTCAAACGTACATAGATTACCATTGTTTTTACTTGTTTATCAGTTCGGTCTCGCTTGTGGCTGTTGCTAGTATGTTTCTGAACACCCATGGAGCTACTGTTGTTGTTACATGCTGCTGGAGAGGGTGTACACGAATGTGAGTCTACATCAGATTTGGCTTTCTTTGATGACCTACTTGCCGCCCTGCCTGAATTTACCCTCTTCTTTGAGTCAATTACTGCAGGTGAATCCTGGATTATTTTAGACAGACATTTAGTCATTCAGGGTTTTAACAAATACAGCAACAGCAGCACAATAATCGCAATATGTTAAAGCAATATTTTATGTTATGAGTTTGAACACAAAGACATAAGCAACAGACAGCACAATGTATTGCCTGGTATATTTCACTATTATCTCAATAGGTGCATAACAAATGAAAACAGTAAAGCAAAAAAAAAAAAAAATCCTTGTTCCTGATTAACAAAATCAACTATACTCAGAAGTAACTGCCTGTTTTACAAGGGTAAACAATAAATCACTTTTGTCCAGATTTGTGCAGACAAAAAGACATGGTTGCGAACCTGTGTTTTTTTGTTCACAAGGCATATTTTTCTGCCTCTTATCCAGCAACAGAGAACAGGCCCAATTAAAAGCATAATGTATACACATTCATAATTAGTTTGGATTTTGCAAAGTTTTCTACTGGGTGAGGCAGCCGACACTGACCCAGTGTCAACCATCCTTAGTGACCTCTTAACCACTTCAGTAGCATACAGCTGTCACTTTAACTAATATAATCCAAACAGATGTTAATTAAAACTAATAATCGTTAAGTCTAAATTAAAACACACACACACACACAAAATATTTCAGGATCCTAGCCGGTGCTGCGGAGCCCATGCACTGCGTTGAGCTACTTCGGACTGAGACTTGAGTTAGAAGCAGTAACTGTGCACTTATGGGTTACTACCCGTGTGCCATGATGTAGATTTGTTGTTCAAACTTCAGGGTGGTGTAGAACAGGGAGTTCTTGAGCATGAGGATTTAGAACCACATGGCTAGTGTTTGTTGCCAGGAACAGTGCCGGTCAGCATATTATTTTTGCCTCTCACAGAAACAATCCATCGCTGTACAGAGGATTCAAATCTGGGTCTTTCCTAAATGTGATCCCTGTGTTCTTATCCATTCAGCTGGACACTGCTGAATGACTTCAAACATACTGAACAGAAAGAGCTAAATTAACAATCGGGTTTGGTGGGTTAATGCTGCAACTGAGTGGGATATCTAATTTAAAAAAAAGAGACTATTCTGTATGGACTAATTCAATGTGAGGGGATTTGGGGGGGGGGGGGGGGGGGGGTACGTAAGGGTTCTGGAATCTATTTAACAGTGAGGGGTCCCTATTGGTCTATAAAATACAGGTCTAGCCCTATATGCCTGAAGACATGGAATATTGTCTTTTGCTTTATATTTACGCAACATGGTCCGTGGTATTTTGTTTCCACAAACCTACCTCAGTACCTGTATCATTCATGTCCCACTTGCACACATCTTTATATCATAGTAGAGGCCGATCTCAACATCTTCTACATACATGAACACATAATTGCGTCCTTACCTGCATTTCTGATTCTGAAGCAGAGGAGGTAGATTCATCATTTGGATCAAACTCATTAAGATTACCATTAGACAGTGTCACTACAACATTAGCAGGAGATGCACTTCTACTTTCTGTATCGCCATTGACCAGAGAGGCAGACGGGTTCTCAATACAACTAATCACATCTCTGGTATGGCTTGAACCAGAATTAGAATCCTCTTCATTGTGTGCCGAGACTGGCGTCTCTGATTTTTTGTCTTCGTCGTGGCGTTGAAGCCATGCTTTCTTCATATGGTGTGGGTGGCTGGAGCTCTGAATGTGACAATTCCTGCTGCTGGGAGAGTTACCTCCTGAAGGTCTGACATGGGTTGAAGGACTTGAGGCACTGAAAGTATCAGAGTCAGCATCTGCCTGGTTGCCCGCTACTCTGTTGATTGTGTTGATAATCCGACTGTTATACGATTTACAATTAATCTGAGAGATGTCTGGTTTAGTGGCAACAGAGGTTGCCAAATTGGAATTATCAGACAGGGACTGAACTTGACCGCTGAGTTCTCTATCACAGAAAGCTACTTCTGAGATAGCAAGAGACGAAAGAGACTGATTGGCTTGTGCCTGATCTCTCTCTGCTTTCTCCTGAGCCTTTTTCTCATCCTGTAGGAATGCAATCTGAACAGTGTTTTCAACAAATGACTTGAAGCTATCCATGAACCCAGTACTATAAGGTAGGCTAGCACTTATTAATGCAGGAGAGGAGGAAGTCACTGAACTAATTTCTGATCTGGCTAATATACTGCTGCTGCTTGAGGTGGTATAAGGAGAGGGGTTTGTGATGATCTGCGATGTCGTTACTGGAATGGAAATAGACTGAGCGGTAAGAGATACTTCATCATGGTTCTTTGACTTCTTTTTATTACTTGTGTTGCTATCCTTAACAGTCATTTTTCGTTTGCTTCCAGGACTGATCTGTGATGGTTTTGAGTCCACAAACGAATTGGCTGAGGGTCCACAAACAGAATGGCAGCCTATACTGTGCTGAAGTGGTGAGCCAGCAGGACGTATCACACCTCCCTGGCTGTAAATAGGATTTGGTACCAAGCCCTGTTGAATCAGGCTGTAGTTGTTGATAACAGAGTTAGGTGCTGAAGAAACAAATGTTTGGGCAGAAGTGTAGCTGGTGTGTGCTTGAGGAGGCTGTTGTTGCTTCTCTGGGGCTTCAATCTTGACGTCTGAGGATTTACAAAAGTTCAATGGCTGTGACTGACTAGCTGCTGCAGTATATGGACTCAGAGATCTTGGAGATGCCCGGATGTCAGAGGAACTAAAAACTGCACTGTGAGATGAAGGCGGGTGACCAAAACTTGTAGGCCCAGGACTGGAATGATGCAGGTGGTGGAGACGAACACTTGAAGCTGGGCTTGAAGATGTTAATGGTCGGTCTAGCCTATGATCTGAAGAATGTGCCAGCCACTGATGTTGAGGGCGTGGTGAGGATGATGCTGAAGAAGGTGAGTTGTGGTGAGAATGTGCTGCCACCTGATTTTCAATTTTTAAAGGAGCCTTTAAATCGCTTTTCACTATCACAGAGTTATGCAGCTCTTGTTTCACATCCTTCAAGCAGTACCCTTGGTTTGAGTGAACAGGGCTAGATGTGTGAGGAGGTCCTGACGAATAAGCATTCTTATCAAGCACCTCTTCCTTTATATGTCTAGTCTCAGACACAAGACCCCTCAGCTTCAGCTGCTCTGCTGTGATAGTTGAGTGAGAGGATGGATAACCATAAAGGTTAAACAGTGGCTTGTGGCTTGACTGGGACAAAGATGAAACAGCATGGTAACTGCCTGAGCTGCAGGGGTAACTGGCAGCTCCAGAACTCTTCTCAATGCCAATTTTGTTAAATCCTCGCTTGTCATCTGGCGGTGGATTAATTTCCTAAAATAACAAAGAAAGCTGAGTTGTAGTATTTAACAGAAAATGTTTATATTAATTAAAACATCAAGAAACAGACAGGACTATGTTATGATACACTTATTCATTAAGCGGAAGACAGAGAAAAATGGCAGGTTTTATGTGCTAGTGCTTCTATTATTTCACCCCCAAGACCCCAACAGGTTAAGGGTTATGTTATGTTACTATTTACTTACTTACTCAGTCGTTTCTCTTCTACCTTGAAGTGTAGAGGTTTGCCAGAGAGATCACCAGACCTCTGCATCAGCAGTTTTCTTTCTGGCTTTGTTCTTTTCCAGTCCTCTGTCAGTCAGGGACTGTCAGATGTTGTCTTCCCAGCAGACCCTGTTTCGCCCTGGTCTGGTTCCCTGCTTCTTGGGCTTCTATGCCTGCCATGGTGGCCGATTTTCTCCCATTCTGCATACATGTCCAAACCATCATAACTGACTGATTCCTATTTACAATCTGCATAAAACAGTTTTATAAATCTTTTCACCTATCATGTCAGCCATGTGGCTTAGGTGCTATAAATGCAGTTTCTTAATTCTTAATTGCAGAGTTTGAAGCAAGCAGGGTGCATCTGGCAGCAGCATACTTTGTGATGATTTAAACAATGGTACAAGTGATGTCAGTTCATTCTTCTTCTTTCGTTCGCATGAAATAAATTGTCTATATCTGCAAAGCCGTCTCTAGTATGAATTTCACTGTCTTTTTTAATTCACTAAGCGGCCCGTAAAGTTTGACTTCCACAAGTGTCTCTTTTGGCCAAAGGTTTTGCCTGAAAGCGTTGAATCTGGGACAGTCTTGAAGGATGTGATCTGTTGTTTCGGGTGCCAGTCCACAAGTACACATGGCTGATTGGCCAATCTTAAATTTGTTGTACATGTGGGAGCGAAGTCGATTGTGCCCTGTTCTAAGGCGAAGGATAATGACTTGCTCTGGTCTGTCCATAATATGGTAATCATCTTGTGCCAGTTTCGGTGGCATTCTGATTGATTTGATCATTCTCTTCTTCTGTTGATAAGAGACTGGTATGTCAGGTTGTTCTTCAGTTGCACCTTCCTTAGCTAGTTTATCAGCTTTTTCGTTTCCGGGAACTCCACAGTGGGAAGGTATCCACTGCATTACTAATTTACAGCGGTTGCCTAGTTCGGATAATAGTGTCCGTATGCTTGGTAATTTTCCAGACTGGAGTGACTGAAGTACTGCTTTTGCATCTGTCAGGAATAACACTGGTTGTGAAAAATACCCTGTATTTAGTAGTTTCTCTACCGCTATCTTGATGAACTTCTGCATCATAGTTGTGACAGTGCTTTCCCGTTGGTAATTTGGCTGTTTCCCTGGTATTATTAGGATACTCAATGTACACTCCTGCACCTCCGTTTCTGACTGCGCTTTCTGCTGACCCATCTGTGTAAACACGGACCCAAAAGTTCTGCGGGTATTCATCATCAAGTAGACTGAGGGTGACTGTTTTGCGCTGCACACTGTTTTGTTCTTCCTTGTCAAATACCCCTTTCACTTCAGTCTTGATGTGTATTGGAAACTTATACTCCTCTCTCCAGGGGGTCCGTTCTGGGACAGCATTTAAGGATCTATCAGTTGCAGGTAAATCAGTGGTTTGTCTGCCTAGCCGTTTGGCCTGGTGGATAAAACTACTTCTCTTTAGTCGTCCCAAAGCTAAATTTTTGAATCTTTAATTCATAGGGTGACTGGGCATACTAAGAAACTTTTCTGCTTGTAAAAGCATCTTGGTGTCTCTGCGTTCACTCAGTGCTTGGGTCATCCCCATTTTCTCCATCACAGCTATAGGTGTTGATTTCATACTGCCTGTGGTAACTCTGAGTGCTTGATTTTGCACTTTGTCTAATTCTTGCAATGTGGTTTTTGATGCCGAACTCCATGCTGTTGATCCGTATTCAAGATGTGGTCGAACACTTTGTTGGTAAACTTTTCTAAGTATTTTCCCGCTAGCACCCCATGTGGTTCCACTTAGTTTTCTCAGAATGGCTACCCTCCTTCTGGCTTTGGTTGCTGCCTTGTTGATGTGTTTTCTCCATGTTAATCTATCATCAAACGTTACTCCGAGGAATGTGGGCTCCTTATCCTCTCTCAGGGGTACTCCATTTATGTGTATGACGCCTGATTTTTGTTTAGGAGAAAGGGTAAAGAGGGTGGTGCTGCATTTGCCTATGTTGATGCTGACACACCATTTGTCGGCCCAATCAGCCATTGCATCTATGGCTCTTTGTAGCAGTCTGGTGGCCACTGTCGCATTTTCATTTGTACACCAGAGTACCAAGTCATCAGCATACATTGCAGCTTTAATTCCATGGGGTAGTTCAGAAAGCAGGTCGTTGATATAGACTAGGAAGAGTGTGGGGGACAGGACACCTCCTTGTGGGACGCCATGGCGCAGCAAAACTTTCTTACTCTTAAGTCCATCTATCTGTACTCGGGATCTTCTGTTATACAAGTATGCTTTCACCCATCTGTACATACTCCCATTCCCCCTGCAGTCTCTCAGTTTCTTCAGTAGACCTTCTTTCCAGACCTTGTCAAAGGCTTTCTTCAGATCTATCCATGCCGTTAGCACTAGCTTCTTTTCCTGGAAGGCATCCTCAATTTCTTGTGAAAGGTAAGTTGTCTGGTCTTCTGTGGAGTAGCACTGTCTAAATCCTGCCTGCTGCGGCGTGAAAATGTTTTCACTTTCCAAGTACCATTGGAGTCTAAGGTTGACAATACGTTCCATTGTTTTACAGAGGCAGCTGGTAAGACTGATCGGTCTATAGCTGGAGGCATCAGAACTGTCCTTTCCTGGTTTAAGCAGAGGTATTGTGATTGCTTCTCTCCATTTTTTAGGAACTTTGCCACTTGTCCAACAATGATTAAAGATCTGTAGCAGCTTTATTTTGGCAGTTGCTCCAAGGTTCTTGATCATTTCGTTGGTGATTCCATCAGTTCCAGGTGATTTTCCCATTCTCAGCTTTGATATTGCTAGCTCTAACTCGCTAGATGTAAATGCTGCCACCAGTGCCTCAGGAATTATATCTTTTTGTCTTGTATGTTGTTTGTTTTCTCCAACCTCTCGCTGTTTCTCTGGGCTGACATTAATGTTGCTGTCTTCTGCAAAAGAATCTGCAAAGTGGTCAGCTGCCTGTTTTCTTGTTAGGATGGCTCCCTCTTTGCATAGTGCAATATTACCATTTCTTCCTGTATTCTCATCATTAATTTGTTTAATTAACGTCCACAACTTCCTTGTGTCTCTTTCAAAGTTTAGAGACTTTGTCTTTTCCTGCCAGCTTCTCCGTCTAGCCTGCAGTTTGGCTCTTTGAAATTTGGCCTTTGAGTGTTGGTAGTTGTTAAACTGCTCTTGACAAGGTCTGGTCTCAGCTTGTTTTCTTTCTGTTTCCATATTGTTGTGCAGTTGCTCCAGATCGCAATTCCAGTACGGTTTGTATTGTTTACGCGCACCTCTTGGAACTGCTTCTAGGGCTGCCTGCAGCATGTGTTTGCTCAACTCTTGGACTACTTTTTCCACGTCGTTATCTGTGTTCAGATTTTCCAGCAGAACATTTGTGCGAAGCTGATATAACTTCCAGTCTGCCTTCTTAAAATTCCACCTTGGCAGTGTGCTGCTCTCTCTTACAGACTGGCTTTCGATAGTTAGAAAGACTGGCCGGTGGTCACTGCCTCCTAGTTGCTTCCCAACAGTTCTGGTAACATTCAGTTCCATGTCTGCTTAGTGAAAGGCTAGGTCTGGTGTCGAGGTGGTATGCCATGCTCTAGAGTAGAAGGTTGGTGGGTCGGTTGGCTTATTAACGAGGATGAACCTATTCTCATCCTGCCAGTCCTCTAGTTTCTCTCCTCTCTGGTCCATATGATCATAGCCCCAACTTTGGGAATGGCTATTAAAATCCCCACAAATGATCATTTTTCAATTTATTAGTACTGTATCCAGTGCCTGAGGGCGGTCGCTCGGACAGTAATAGTTGGTCAGATGTAAATCTGTATTTTCTAACTTGAGCTCAAGAGTTTGATACTCAGCACCTTCCATGTATGTTTCGATCCGGCCCGCAAGGATGTTATTTTTTACCAGGGTAAGAATTCCACCTTTTCTCCTGTCTTTGCGGTCAGATCGAAAACACTGGTAGCCTCTGATCTTAAAGGTCATATCTTGTTTGAGATACGTCTCTTGTAGGCAGCATACATGTATATTCTATGTCAGTTCAAAAGGCAATGGTATACTACTGAAAGTAAACTTGCCAGGTAAATCCATACAAAAATGTTTGCCGTCTCCACAGTGAAGGCTGGCTGCAGCGTCTTTGGGAATGTTATGCAGTGAGGCCCCAATCTCTTTCACTATTTACTTCCCTTGTAGACGAGGGCAACACAGGTTACCTTTAAAGGAGGAAGAAATTTCTAAACTGCTGACAGGTTGAGAGCTGCGTGTCTGAGAAGAAACACACAAAATACAAGTGACGACAGTCAACAACAGTCCTGAAATCCCATGCTCAAATTGTGGAAGACATCTTAACACGGGCGGGTCTTTCTAGTTACACGCACCATCCCCAAGTGCTGTGATTCTCATGCCTCCCCATAGCACAATATAACACTATCGGCTGGAAAGACAGAAATATGCGAGAATCTTCTTGACTTACAACACTGTTCTGTGCTAGAGCTATATCTGGTACTCACATTATTGTGAATGGATAATTTACAGGTACTTCAGAACGGTGATTATCAACAGAAAACCACAAATTTACCTTGTTTAACTGATCCTCTATCCTGTGTTCCAGGTGCTTCTTCTCATGGAATGGGAGGCTGCGGGGCTGAGGCAAGCTGTGGGGCTGAGGCAAGCTGTGCGTCTCAGTTTTAGGAATGAAGCCTCTTGCTGCAGCATGTGCAATTGGTGGGAAAATTGAGATGCCCTGTAAACATAAAATACACCAATGAAGAAGATGTCTTTTATTCTTCTTCGTTCAGCAGCTGTAAGCTCCAGCAGAAAGTCCTTGTCTGTACATTTACTCTGGCTTTGTGTCAGGGTCCAAGTTTTGCGTGTTCATCTGTTTTACTGACTTATTTGTAGCCAGCACTCTGACTTCGAAGGAAGCCCCAAATTAGTTGACTCCTATGACTTGCTTGTTGGAAGGCAGTGGGTGGGTCTATTCTTGTTTTCCCCACAATGGGGCCCTGAAAACCCAGACAGGGAAAGCAGATGTGAAACTAAGCTCTCAGATAAGACAAATTAAGGTGCCCTGTAAACACAAAAGACATTACTCTAGACCTAACATTTAGCAAAGATACAGCTCTCAGGTGACAAGTACTTTTCTTTTCTGTCTGCATTCACCTGAAAAAGGGGAACTGTGTGATCTCGAGGTATGGTGTCCACCTCGTGTGCTAGAGGCCCCGGGTTCAAGCCCCAGTGAAGGTTGGGATTTTTTTCACGTGGACTCATAGTAATTTTCCCTGGTCTCTGGGTAGTGAGATCGGACACCTAAAGGTATTTCTGCGCACATTAAAAAAATCCCTTGGCAGTTGAAAATCGAAAAGAATAGCCTGACAGCGCTGCCTGAGCAAAATTTAGAGATAAAAATCTACCCAAAGTATTTCACGATCCTCGCCGATGCTACGGAGCCCCTGCACTGCGCTTGAGTTAGAAGAAGAACGGAGCACTTATGGGTTACTACCCGTGCACCCAGATGTTGATCCGTTGTTTAAACTTCTAACCTCAAAAAGATGGGTTCACGTGTTGTGTTGTGGTTTACAGACAGGTTACAATAACTGTGCCTTTGGGGCCAACACATCTAATTCCAACAAACTCCTAATTAGGAAGCATTTTTACAAAATACTTATTACAGGTCTAATTCCCCCCCCCCCCCCCCCCCCCTAAATGGAGGCCTCAGACACCACACAAGGAATGCATTTTTCAAATCAGCTCACTGACTTCTTCTTCCTTTATCCTCAACCAGAACATACAGTCCCTCTACAAACTTACGCCAAAGTATCCTATCCTGTCTTTGTCCATCTCCAGCAGTTCTCCTACTCAAAATCCTCTAAATCAATCAATCAGGTGCCGTCTCCACAATGAAGGTTGGCTGCAATGGATCTCCAACAAGCCCTGTCTCTTGCCCTTGATGTACACTCACACATACTGCTGTTCGTCCATCTCTTCCCACTTGTAACGCTGTCTGCCTCTTGCTCGCCTACCTTGAACCTTTCCCTCTAGGATGATCTTTACAATACTGTTATGTCTTTTAATGTGGAAAAAATATTTCACTTGTCTCTTTTTTATTTCACCCAGCAACTCTCTTTTCATTCCCAACTTCCTCAGTACCTCTGTATTTGATAGCTCAAAATCCTCTACATAATATTATATTAGCTCTTTCTGCCTGGCATTTCTTCTCACCAGTATTCCTGACATTGTGACCAAAGTTATCCACATACATCTGAGAGGAGCTGAGCTGAACTGAGTTAAGAACCAATATCATTAAACTTGACATCACCATAAACACTCTGTCCTCATCTTCAGCAGCAATCGCAGTTATAATTCCGATGCTACCAAAAGCAGACCGAATGTATGTCCATCTTACTTTTCCCTAATTGCTGAGAGTCACAGATAAATGATGAAAATACCCTGGACAGATAAAAATAGTAATGAAGATGTCTTGAAAAAAACGGACTCAGGAACTGATTGCCCACATCAAAAAGAGACAATCTACATTCTTTGTTCATGTGATGAGAAGGAGAAAACTGGAGTACTTCATGACCGCAGGAAAGCTGGAGGGGAGAAGAGGCTAAGGGAGACCGAGAGAAAAGATGCTGGACAGTCTGACATTATGGTATGGAGGATCATCAGTGTCAGAGCTGACTGAAAGTACAAGAAACAGAAGGTTGTGGATAGACATGACTACCAATACCACAAAGCAGGAACTGTAAGAAGAAGTTGACTGTCAGCTACTGGTCCCTCCCTGTTGCACCATTTATTTTCTTCAGGCGATCGTGATCTACTTGTGCTTCCGCACTGCTAACTCGCTCCCAGAGGACCCTAACATCTAGCTTGTCATGCAACAATTTACCACCGAGGGGTGCAGAAGCAAACAGCCTGTCTGCTTATTCATTTCCCAACACACCAACATGACCTGGAGAAAATATTCAAAGGACACTAACTACCCAAGACCTCTGAAACTAAGCTAAAGCTACCAACAAGACATGGAGTATAATAATGGCACAAATCTGTTGACTAGCTAATCTAGTCAGAGACCAAGCTCTACCAAAGAACTCTGAAGCTAAGCTGAAGCTATTAACAAAACATGAAGTAAACTAATGGCACAAAACTGTTGGCTGGCTAATCTGAGACCAAGCTCCACCCTGGAACTCTCAAGCGAAGCTGAAGCTATCAACAAGAGATGAAGTATAATAATGACACAAACCCATTGCCAGGCTAATCTAGTCAGAGACCAAGCTCTACCCAAGACCCCTGAAGCTATCAACAAAACATGAAGTACACTAATGACACAAACCTGCTGACTGGCTAATCTGGTCAGAGACTCAGCAAAGTGCTGGTCTACAGCAGCGTCCGTGTCCACATTCTCCATCAGGATCCGCTCCTGACTCTGCTTATATTCCCACTCTTGTCGTTCCTGTTTCATCCGCTCCTTCTCTAGGAGTTCTCGCTCTTGTCTTTCATGCTCTGCCCGTTCACGCTCTTTCTCTTGTCGCTCTCTGAAATACAGAACAATAAAATGTTAGAAATAAAATGGATAATAAAGCATGGAAGACAAATATATTTAAAAAAAAACATGCTCATTAATCCACACACAAAAATTTATTTAAAAAAAAAAAAAAAAAGGAAAAACAAACAACCCCAAAGAAGACAGAATTCTATTTCTTCTTCAACAATATTTGATCATGCACTTAATTCACTGTTGGCCATAAATTGGGATGTCAGTTTAAGGCCTCTTTAGGTTTCTAAAAAAAAAAAGCTTAGCTGTCAGGTCTACTAGATGTGGTCAAAATTTGTGTTCATAATTCCTTTAGATGAAGACAACCTAGTAGGACATGTTCTGGGGTTTGTTCAGCATAAAGACACTGACAGAGAGCTATGAATCATAGATAAAAAAAAAGCTTAGATGTTCTGTTAAATACATACACAGAATTTGTTAAAATCGAATGTGCTGGATCAAAAGGAATAGATATCACAGCTTAGCTGATCAATATAGCATACCAAACACTTTTTAAAGGGTGAATAAGGAATAAAAGGTATCTTAAACATAGGATTTACTAACTAATGTACAAGTTTGGAAAGAGAGAGAAAGATGACACAGTGATTACACTGGGATGTCAACACTGCCCATTTTCTTGTGTATCTGCCGGCCTCCATGGAGAGTGAGTAGTTAAGCCATCTGGCACATGCCATTAAGGTCGTAAGTTGAGTCCACGAGTGCAAATTTTATGGAGATGCTTAAGGAGGTCCAGGGTTTGTGTCTTGTGGGATGCTGATGCTTTTGGCAGGTGTCTAGCCATTCAAGTGGAGAGAGACCGAACCATCTGGTATAACACTGGGTGCAATATAGTCGACTCTGTTGACCTTAACTTTAACTGTGTTAATTCAAAATATTTTGTCCTAAAAATGAAACCCAAAAACATGGACATCATATAATATTGACAGATTCTGTCCATTACATGAATGGGAAAAAAATTTGACCTCTTCCTGAGGAAGCCCAAAGGTGCTTGGACTGAATTCCATCCATGTTGCTGAAAGGATTGCACAGGATCGAGTGGAATGGAAGATTATCCTGTGAGCCCTGAGCGATGTATAAGGATAATGATGATGAAAGGCTGAATAATATTTTCCCAACATTAGTAGAGACATGATGATGTCTAATTCAGCGAAGGTGAAAACACGGACCCCTTGCAGACCTAGACAGTGACTGCCTAGTGATGGTAATCAGTTTGTATTAGGAAAGCAAATAACATTATTATTGGAATCTGCCATGCATGGTTTAATATAATCCATTGAATTATGACAAAGAAGCTTAACGAAGATGAGAATGGAGAAACAAATACACACAGGAACGAAGGGACATTTCAGCAGTAGCCTTTATATATATATATATATATATATATATATGGCACTACAAATACAACAACCTATCTTCCATTCATGACAATACAAATTACCTTTCAATAATATCTGAGTGTTCCTTTTCTCTACGTTCCTGTTCCAACCTCTCTCTTTCCCTGCGGCCAACTTCAATTGCTCTTCTTCCATGCTCCATCTGTATTTGAAGATGTTCTCTGTGGAGGGCTGCTGCTAACTCCGTAGAAAGGAGTGCCTCTTGGTTTTTCTTCAACACATAGTGAGCTGGAAGAGGGGCTGCTGACATCTTCTGCTGCCACAGAGCTTCAATTGTAGCTATTGTTGCAGCATTGTTCAACGAGTATCCTATAAGATGCTGCTGCTGCTGCAAGGCTGCCAACTGCTGCTGCTGAGCCCTGACAACCGCATCTATGGGATAACTGTGAGGAAGAGTCAGGTGATGTGGTATAGATGACAGTAGCGGATGTGTGCCGGTGTAGGGCAAGGTACTGGGCAGGGTGCTCAACAGACTCCGGGCTGGAAGTGTGGATGCACCAGAAAATGCTGGGGCAGCGGGAGAAGATGCTGATGCTACCGGAACTGGTGAATGTGTCGTCAATGAAAAAGCTGGCTGACCCATTTTGTGGTGGCCTGCTAGCACACTTTGAATGTGACTATGTACAGCATTCGTGTGTAATAAGTCTGGATCGCGATAAGGATGTATAGGTTCATTTCTATCCATGATTAAAGGACTGGTGCCAGGACTGCTCTTCACACTGCGGACATCATCCAGTCGTGAACTCGACTGTTTACTGTCAGATAAATACATGGACAGCTGACCATCACTGGATCTCGAGTCCGCACGATCTATGACTGTAGGGGTGTTCTGCCTGCTTCTGGAGATACTGGACTGAACGCTTGTAAATGCACTCTGCCTTTCACTGTTGGCATCGTGAGGCATGGTCAAAGAGTTACTCCCAGGTCTGTTATCATGATGAGTTGAGGCACAAACAGGAGATGACAAAGCCTTGGTAGAATTCACTACTTCTGTCCCGACTTTTCCATCACCACCCTTCAGTGAACACTTATCGCTGTTTCTCCCTTTGGTTGGCTGAGCGGTGAGTAAGCAGCCTTCCGATACTATAGGTGCTTGTGGACTACTTGGTAAAGAGTTAATGTTACTGCCAGCTCTTAAAATTTGTTTTTTGTAGTGCATGTCCTCTTCAGATTTCAGGTCTAAGCAACTTCTAGTATCCACAATGCTAACACGATCCTTGTTTGGTAATGTTTCTCTAATAGAACAAATTTCCTTCTGAAAGCTCACTATGTTATTTTTTACTGAAAAACTTTTTAGGATCACTTGTTTATTACTGCAATCTTCATTTCCATTACACTTGCTAAATAAACCTGTATCAGTGTTTTCATTACTATACTGTACACAACTGACCGGTGGTGCCCAACTTAAAATAGTGTTAGTTGGAGCAAGGACCGCAGAAGATGAGTTTATATCAGATGTTCTACCAATATCACAAACTAATGTGTGGTCAAGATCCTTATCATTGTCACAAGCCAACACAGATGTAGTTGCTGTAGTTGCACTAAGGGCCTGCCTGCTGACCCCTTTTACTGTAGGTACATGTGTAGTACCTACAGCTTTTCTCCCCTTGTTCTCAGTCTTATCCGAATTTTTCCTTTTGTTATCAACAACAATTTCAATACCTGCTGAGGATGCACCATTTACAGTGGGGCTGTCACTTGAACTTTGTACGCCTTCTAAATTGTTAGTGTCTTTATTTCTTTCAGATTGATAAGCTATCTTATTCTGGGTGCCTTTATGTCTCAATGCTGATGAGCTTGGCTTAGAACTGTCTTTAGTCTCAGTATATTTATCACTTTCTTCTTTACTTTGATTGACCAGTAAGTTACAGGCTTGTTTCCACACTGAAGATCTTGTTTTAATGTTGCTCCCGCCAGCAGAACTTTTGGTTCTCAACTGGGGTGCTGAAGTTTCTTTTGCTGCTTGTTGGGGCTTCTTTTTTGGAATCTGCCTTGAACTTGTTGTCTGCTGTTTACCTGGAAAATTCAAGTCAGAATTAGAAATCCCCCAAAATACTGATATCACAAACGAATGTGCTACAAAATGAAGAGAAAAAAAAAAACGTGTTTTAAATTTAGCTCTTCTGCAATGACGCATAGGAGCAATGTATTTTTGGAGCAGCTAAAGTTAAGCGGAAAAACTTGAAGAAGTGACTGTTTCATACAGTGTCTACGTTTGCTGTATTTTGGTAATTGATTTTACCTACAGTGTTTGTTTTATATACAGAAGCCAGCCACGCAATAGCAGTAACTGGATTCACAATCATATTTAAAGATATAGTATTAACATTCTTTACATGGTGTTCACTTCTGTTATATTTTAGCAACTGGTTTCAAAGACAGTATATGAGTGCATTTGTGTTGTGTGTGTGTTTGTGTGTGTGCAAGCGAGCGATGCGACTAACAGTTACAGGAATGGACGACAACTGTAGGTATAAACAGAGCATTAGCAGACCTAACATTGAATCAACACTCGTCACTCCCCGTGGAATGCACTTTTTCCTTATTTTGAAGCCCCGCCTGGGTCTTGCCAAGTGCCGCAATATAGCCCTGTCATAAATATGGCCTAATGGCTGACCGCGGTTTCCGGGACTTTTCCACAGGTGATCCTCATTCGGCAGGTGGCACATTGTGTCATCGGGTATTTATCGCTTGTGTGATGTACTAGTGGGTTAAGATGTACTAGTGGGGTAAGATGTACTAGTGGGGTAAGATGTACTAGTGGGGTAAAATGTACAACTACTACTACTTAACATGGTGTCTACTCTGCTATATTTTGGCAACTGGTTTTAATAAGGACTATATGAGTATGCGTGTGTTTGTTTTGTACGGGGGGGGGGGGGGGGGGGTATTAACAATCATTGTATTGACAATCCTATGTACAAAATACAGCACTGCGGCACAGTATTAATGGACTTCTAGGTTTTTCCATGGGCAGGTGGCATGACAGTGCAAATGTAGGAATGTGTAAATATCGTCCTTATCCACAATGTATAAATGCCTTGACATCGTCACCAAAGGAAAGGATCAACGCCAGAAAATGCACAGTCAGAACATAGAACTGGTGCTGTCTGGTCCAAAACGGCAACATGGAAAAATACAAACAACTTGCTGATCCACAACTGTATGTATGTATGTATGTATGTATGTATGTATGTATGTATGTATGTATGTATGTATGTATGTATGTATGTATGTATGTATGTATGTATGTATGTAGATGCGTGTATATATGTATTACGTATGTCTGGATATGAGTGTGCATGTATAAGAATGTAAGAGTATGTATACGTATCTGTGTGTGTATTTGAGTGTGTAAGATTGTGTACATATGATGTGTTTATGCATTATTCCATAATGTATATTTCTTTATTACATCCATAACATGCATTATTGATAACAAGCATTGGTACTGTGAAAAACGAGTGCTTAGAAGAGCCGAATGTCAGACGGGCAAAAATAAAGTTCCTTCATTCGTTCTCTCTCTCTCTCTCTCTCTCTCTCTCTCTCTCTCTCTCTCTCTCTCTCTCTCTCTCTCTCTCTCTCTCTCTCTCTCTGATATTCCGGAATTTATAAAACCAAGTGTCACAAGCCACTGTTTTGCAGCATGGGTTGCTATTTCAACGAGAAGTTGAATTTGCTGTTGTTTAAATCAGCTAACTGATTTGAAGCAGTTGCATTATTTTCCGTGTTGTTAGATTCTATCACCCCTAACTGTGTATTACTGGGAAACTGACTTTCCACGTGCTGGTTCATTTTTACGTAACCAAGGTTACCAACTTGTCCGAAACAAAAGAAAGACCAAAACTTCACCCACCCCCCACTTTTTTTCTTCTTTCCCCTTCAACAGCAGCAGCTCACACACAAACACACACACACACAAACACCTCCCTACAACGCTGACCACAGATAACGGGCCACGGCCGAGACCAGAACTGACGTCACAGCACTCACGACAATCCCGACCAGAGCTCCGTCCTTATCTTCAGCAGCCAGGGAAGATTCCGATAGTGCCATTAACAGTGTTAGGTCCATTTTTGCCTTTTCCTCTGAGTGTAAATGTCGATCAGAGTACTAGCTCCCCTGGTCATTCCCAGCTGTACAAATATATCCAGACAGTAGTGATTTATTTGTGCCCCTGCGGTTTTCACTTGCTCCCCACAGAACCCTGACCACATCTAGCTTGTAGTGCATCAATTTACCGCCTAATGACGCAAAGCCAGCCAACCTGTCTGCATATTCGTTTCCCAATGCATTTGTATACCAGAAGAAAAAAAAATCCAAAAGACACTAACTACCCTGGACCTTTGAAGCGATGCTTGCCTTTCTTCACGAACATGCCTGTCTCTACATTTCTCAGCACGCTTTGTGAGTTAGTTAAAATAATCATGTGTGTGTGTGTGTGTGTGTGGGGCGCGCGCACACACAGCTGGTTTTCAGGCGAGTAGAAAGTTGGCTGTACATAACAACAAGCATGAGACAAACCCTCACCCTGCCTCCTTCCCTCCCTGACGCACTTTTATCAGACAGCCAAGAGCTTTCAGACAAGTTTTCTCTTCCTTGTCTCTCTCCCTTGTGGCTGTTTTCTATGCCAGAATTTACACGCACCGTGCGCCCACCTACCACACACTCTTCCGTTGGCGTTTTTCCCCGACAGCATGACTATGTATTTTTAGCCGATAAGCTTGCGTTACGATCAGTGTTGCCACTTTGGATCTTTTATATCCAAATAAGATCTTTTTCATTGCATTTAGATACTGTTTTTGACGTTTAGATCGTAAATATTTTTCTAGATTCTTTTCATATGGGAGTTAAATATATTATAGATTTTTTTTTCTTTCATTGTCAATTTAATAATTACTGTGTAAAATATTTACTACAATATTTTTGTTTTGGTCTGGGACGTACATTGTGACAACTGTCATTACTTGAACTTTGAACTCTCACTGGGGTCAACGCACAAATATCTGGCAGCCCTGGTACTGATTAATAAAAACGCGCGTAAATCATACTAACTTTGTTTCAACCGTATCCTCACTGTGCTGACTTGGCGTTTCTTTTTCATGTGATTTAAAAAAAATAAATTGCTCACCTTCTTATGTGGCTTTCACTTTGAAAAAACCTTTCAACATGCCAAAAGTAAAGTATGAGCAACAAATTTGGAAAGAGTGGTTGCATGATGACAAAATTAAAAACTGGGGATATGACCAAAGCTTGTTTAAGTACTGCAAGTGTGAAATTAAAGCAAAAATACAAAACTCAAAGAGTCGCGCAGAGACTAAAAAAGCATAAAACTGCAGTTCCATTTAAAGACATCTGTTTTTAGAACTATACTGATAAATGAATCATCAAAAGTTAAAGTATCAGTAGCAATGTTTTTAATATGTCACTGCGCAATTTCAAACTGTGACCATTTGATCGATTTGTAAAAAAAAATCTTGGATTAGTTCAATTTGAAAAGTGTGATGTCGAAAGTATAGTTTAGGAACTGAAGGACCTTTTAATCAGCAAACAGTTAGGCTTGAAGAATCTGGCTGTAATTGGTACTGATAATGCCTCAGTGATGGTTGGTATAAACAATGGCGTTTATGCCAAGTTGAAGGATGCTAACTCATCGTTAATACTTATAAAATGTATGCGTCATTCATTGCAGCTAGCATTATAACATGCTTCATCTAAATATTTACCAAGGAATTTGGAATACCTTATTGCTGAAACACTTTACTGGTTTTCCAAATCATTTGTCAGACAAATCAATACAATACATTATATACAGCCTTGAATGATGGTTCCACACCACCGAAAATTCTGTCAGATTGCAAAACTAGATGGTTATCAATTTAACCAGCTGTTGAAAGAATTAGGAAGCAATGGCTGAAGTTGAAGACACACTTTGAAAAAACAAGACAAAGTGATAAGTGCTACACAGCTGACATACTAAATGGAATGTACAGTGATGAAAAAAAATTTGTCATTCATTCTCTTTTTATAACCTATTCTAATGGAAGTGCAAAAAGTTAATAAACAAAATAAAAAATAAAGAGCTATTTGGCTCCTAAGCCACACCTTAGATATTAAATCGAATCAAAAATTGATGATTTAAAAACAAAAGAACTGTTAACAGAGAATGAACAGAACAACTAAAGAAAACGCTGTCAAGATTTCCTTATCTCATTATTGAAGCAATTGAAGCAGAGACTTCCTGAAAATCTAGATGTTTTGAAAAATATTTCACTTTTTTCTGTGAGCAACATACTTCAGCCAATAAAGGACATACCTGATTATTGTAAAGTTATGAAATTTTTAGGGGCTACTGATAATAGTGTCGTGGAAGCAGAATATCAGTTAACCAAAAAAAAAGTTAGCTGAATGGACAAAAAAAGAAAAAAAAAGAAACTAAAGCGTTTTGGAGTGAAGTGAGACAATTTAAAGATGCCTCATCAAACAGTCCATTCTGTAAGCTCTTTAAAGTGTCATGTCTGCCATGATACTACCCCACTCAAATGCTGACGTAGAAAGAGTTTTCAGTGCTAGGAATTATATCAAATCTAACCTAAAAAAACAGTATGAAATTTGCCCTCTTAAATGCTATCGTGCCATTAAAATTCGGGCTTATGAGACTAGAGAAATAAGCCTACTGTTCCACTTATAAAGAAATTTAAACAGCTAAAGCATACTAGGGTCATTTTGGATCTGAAGCTTCAACTTCATTATCCAAGCTAAGTTTATCATGTGGATCTTGTGAGGCAGACATCAGTGAAGGTGAGGACATGATTAAGTAGGGTAAGCCATTACAAAAGCTATGTAATTTTTGACTTTTTCAATTTGGATGTTTTTCTAGATCTTTTCCACGCAGATTTAGATCTTTTTAGATATTTTTTGACACTGTTTTGGATATTTTTTGTCAAAGAAAAGTGGCAACACTGGTTACGATCAAGCAGTTATCAGAGCGCGAGATGATGTAGCTGCCGTTTCTC